CGCCACGAAATTCCGAATTCTGTGCTCGACCTTGACGTCAGTACGGTACCTGCTCGAGCAACAGCCTATTCACAATTATAATGAAACCTCCATCTTTGGATTAGTAATTGACATCACGGAACAACGTCAAGATAGTTTTTGCGTAACGAGGAGAGCTCTATATTGTATTTCGGCTCTTTTTTTGTGTGCACGCGTGCGAAGCATTTCTCCACCAGCAGTTGAAAGCGGTAAATCCACAAATCGAGAGCCGGATGACTGGAAGTACACTATGATGCATGAAATAGCACTACGTGATGCTTTCCTAACAATATTCAGACGAACGATGAAGGCTGAGTTTGAAGCATTTTGTCCCTTATAATTGACGCACGTTCGATGCCCGCCGACTGCATTTCTCCGACAATTAATCCCTACTACCAGTCTATTGGGCCACACATTTGCATATCCATAAATGCGCAATTAATGAACCACCTATCTCATATTGGGTTTCAATCAAGCTACCTGGTACTCGCATCAATCCCCTCATCTGCGCGCATGCAGAGCGTTACTAAACCCCCTTATAGCTCACAACTGCCGCCACGGAGTTTTGAAATAGGTGAGGTCCACCACAACGACTACTTCCAGATTCAACGTGTATCAGAAATTGATGGTATGGAAAGATAGCGATGTCGCACAAGGGGAATCAACAACAGGCGAATCTTTTTTATGGTGATTGGTGACACAGAAACTCGTAGAATATAGATTTCTGAGTGATACATTTATCTCCCATGTTTCCATTCCGTGTCACCATGATTCCTGCCTCAACTTTGCAGAGTATCAGAGGCTAGCGTTAGTGGGAACCATTTAGAGTGTATGGTTTCGCGGGTTCACTAGCAACTGTGCTATATATTTTCTTATCACACGTCGATCACTCCTGGGTTCAAGTTCTCTTTTTCTGACAACGTGACGAGGCGTGGGGAAGTTCAGCAAATGTGACTTCATGAGTTAAAAGTATCTGACCAATCCCTATACGATGTGTCCGATGTAGTCTAGCTGGTTAGGATTCGTGGCTCTCACCCACGCGACCGGGGTTCGAGTCCCCGCATCGGAATGGTTCCGATTATGTCGCAAACGATGTCTTCAGCTAATCTTACTGATGTCAGTTGCAGTAAATTTGCATTGGCATCATTGGTTTAATGAAGTGAAATTGCGCTGCCATCATGACAATCCGTTGTCAGTCATGAGAAGCTGCAGTCCCACGACGCCGTTCGGAATCGCCCCCATCCCCTGGACAATGTTGCTATTGTTCCCCTTTTCCTCTCTTCTTTCGGATCAGTGAGGTTTGCCGCCGGAAATGATCGCGGGAAGACTGTGAATTCGTGAAAGATAACTTTGTTCAAGGGGAACGGGGAGCAAAAGGGTCGTCACCGGCATTCACCTTGCGGCTGCAGCCTAGCGAGAGGACCTGATATCTACCTTGAGCCAAGATGGCTACGGTAACTTATAAGGATCGGAATTGTGGTCGTGCCAGTTGCATAAACTTCTCGCTGCGCCACGAAATTCCGAATTCTGTGCTCGACCTTGACGTCAGTACGGTACCTGCTCGAGCAACAGCCTATTCACAATTATAATGAAACCTCCATCTTTGGATTAGTAATTGACATCACGGAACAACGTCAAGATAGTTTTTGCGTAACGAGGAGAGCTCTATATTGTATTTCGGCTCTTTTTTTGTGTGCACGCGTGCGAAGCATTTCTCCACCAGCAGTTGAAAGCGGTAAATCCACAAATCGAGAGCCGGATGACTGGAAGTACACTATGATGCATGAAATAGCACTACGTGATGCTTTCCTAACAATATTCAGACGAACGATGAAGGCTGAGTTTGAAGCATTTTGTCCCTTATAATTGACGCACGTTCGATGCCCGCCGACTGCATTTCTCCGACAATTAATCCCTACTACCAGTCTATTGGGCCACACATTTGCATATCCATAAATGCGCAATTAATGAACCACCTATCTCATATTGGGTTTCAATCAAGCTACCTGGTACTCGCATCAATCCCCTCATCTGCGCGCATGCAGAGCGTTACTAAACCCCCTTATAGCTCACAACTGCCGCCACGGAGTTTTGAAATAGGTGAGGTCCACCACAACGACTACTTCCAGATTCAACGTGTATCAGAAATTGATGGTATGGAAAGATAGCGATGTCGCACAAGGGGAATCAACAACAGGCGAATCTTTTTTATGGTGATTGGTGACACAGAAACTCGTAGAATATAGATTTCTGAGTGATACATTTATCTCCCATGTTTCCATTCCGTGTCACCATGATTCCTGCCTCAACTTTGCAGAGTATCAGAGGCTAGCGTTAGTGGGAACCATTTAGAGTGTATGGTTTCGCGGGTTCACTAGCAACTGTGCTATATATTTTCTTATCACACGTCGATCACTCCTGGGTTCAAGTTCTCTTTTTCTGACAACGTGACGAGGCGTGGGGAAGTTCAGCAAATGTGACTTCATGAGTTAAAAGTATCTGACCAATCCCTATACGATGTGTCCGATGTAGTCTAGCTGGTTAGGATTCGTGGCTCTCACCCACGCGACCGGGGTTCGAGTCCCCGCATCGGAATGGTTCCGATTATGTCGCAAACGATGTCTTCAGCTAATCTTACCGATGTCAGTTGCAGTAAATTTGCATTGGCATCATTGGTTTAATGAAGTGAAATTGCGCTGCCATCATGACAATCCGTTGTCAGTCATGAGAAGCTGCAGTCCCACGACGCCGTTCGGAATCGCCCCCATCCCCTGGACAATGTTGCTATTGTTCCCCTTTTCCTCTCTTCTTTCGGATCAGTGAGGTTTGCCGCCGGAAATGATCGCGGGAAGACTGTGAATTCGTGAAAGATAACTTTGTTCAAGGGGAACGGGGAGCAAAAGGGTCGTCACCGGCATTCACCTTGCGGCTGCAGCCTAGCGAGAGGACCTGATATCTACCTTGAGCCAAGATGGCTACGGTAACTTATAAGGATCGGAATTGTGGTCGTGCCAGTTGCATAAACTTCTCGCTGCGCCACGAAATTCCGAATTCTGTGCTCGACCTTGACGTCAGTACGGTACCTGCTCGAGCAACAGCCTATTCACAATTATAATGAAACCTCCATCTTTGGATTAGTAATTGACATCACGGAACAACGTCAAGATAGTTTTTGCGTAACGAGGAGAGCTCTATATTGTATTTCGGCTCTTTTTTTGTGTGCACGCGTGCGAAGCATTTCTCCACCAGCAGTTGAAAGCGGTAAATCCACAAATCGAGAGCCGGATGACTGGAAGTACACTATGATGCATGAAATAGCACTACGTGATGCTTTCCTAACAATATTCAGACGAACGATGAAGGCTGAGTTTGAAGCATTTTGTCCCTTATAATTGCGAAGCATTTCTCCACCAGATGTTCAAGATCAAACACGCTTTCAGGTCTATTCCATGCAGAGTTGACCCTCGCGATAGCGGTAGACGCTTTGGTTCTGTAAATTACGAGCAACTGAACGAATGCACATCCGATGTCGGGCAACTCTATCGACCTCTAACCTCTATCGCCATGAAACAATTGATGGGACATGTTTCCAGCCTGTGAGGGCACAAAATCGTAACCACCATAACGTTGAGTCGACTGTCCACGCCTCATAACACTCGAAGGAGGACTCGACATGATACTCACCGAAGAGATACTACCAGGGACATACTTATTTCGATCAGGGAAAAATCGCCCGGCATCCCCTCGTGTACAAGGATCATCTCGATACATTGGTACTTCACGTGACCGTACTACCATCCATGGTAGTACGTTCACGTGAAGGCTCCAAGGCTCCTATTAGGAGCCTCAGTATTAGTGGTTAGCATGAGCCGCGCTAGTATCCACAAACCCCGAAACTGTAGGCATTCGTAGACATTCAGCCCTTCAACAGGAAAGCCTCCACTACGGAGATTCAGTACGCTTCATCGAGCCACTTCACTATCGTGACCAAACTCGGTTGTTATCTACACAATTCAACTAGACATTTGGGGTCGAAAGAGCCAACGCTCGAGCAATTATGGGATAAAGAAACGAGATTTAATAAGACCTTGACTGAGAGAACTTGACTGAAGCATAATGGGTATGGCTCTTGAAATGCTTCACTCTCTGATAGTCGGGGGCATTCCAGGTTCAGAACTATTCGGTGGACCTGAATCCCATCAGAGATGTTATCTCCTCAATGAGTGAGAACAGAGCAACCCATATACCTTCGACATAGCTCCACCCTTGGAATGCTCCTTCTTTCACCTTAGGGGCTGCCACTGCAGCTCCTTTCATGGCACGCGCTTTAACCGCCTAATAGAATATCGCGACATTGTCAATGACAAACGATCGATCCAGGTACCGACTTCAACTGGCTTTTCAGTGAATTCTGGAGAGAAGTTCTTCTTCGTTTTGCTTGGGTCGATTGGTGGCTTGATCTGCTTCCGGAAGAGCTTCTCCTATAAGAAAGCATGATCCCCCACTAGGCGCCTAAGTAGGGACTAGGTACCCATTCCATATCCCTAACCCAAGGATGATCTTTGATTTCCCTGGCACCCTTCTTAGATCCGAGTCTTATCTTGGGGTCTGCCTCTAAAAGTCTGTCGCACATGTCCCGTGCTGCAGCTGATACCCAGGGTGGATACGAGAGACTTTCCCCAGTAACTGGTGAATCCTAATATCATCGAAACCAGTAATGAAGACACTCACCCCTTCGTGCGAACATTTCATCCCAGTTGCCTTGGAAGTGGGGAAGACTGCCTGTGAGCATCACATAGAGTAGGCATCCGAGGCAGTAGAAATCCAAGGGCTTCCCATGACCTGCCAACATCCTCCAATAGATGCGATTTGACAGTGATGGGATACTAACATCGAAACACGAGAGTACTCACCTTCTCGTTTGATCATCTCGGGACTCAAGTACCCAGCGGTGCCGACAAAGGACGTCAGTTGCGAGGTAGGATCTGTACCCAGATTTTGTGTATCAGCTAACTACATATGATAACATGCCTCACCTGCTTTGCTTTCCTTCGATAATCCGAAATCAGTCAACCTCACATGGCCATCCAAGTCCAACAATACGTTCTCGGGCTTCAGATCCCGGTACAGAACATTCTGAGAATGCAGATACTCCAGACCGAGAAGGACTTCACAGAAGTAGAACCTGACGTGGGCACGTATGAGAAGGTAAGATCACAACAAGTCTGATGACTAGTCTAGAACTACGATCATGACATCCACAGAGGCAATACGATACATGATCGTACTTGGCAGTTGATTCATCGAAATGGCCTCGCTGCATCATGTGATAGAAGAGTTCACCTCCTGCGCAGAACTCGAGAACAAAGTACAGGTGGGAGCGCGTTTGGAAAGCCTGAGATATTGGTAGTGGATGCCCTATTTCAAAAAGGTTCATGGACGCTATTACCCAATACATAGTAACTATGAAAGGATGCCTGGCCTTGGCCAAAACTTTACGTTCCATCATTGCACGTTCCATTCTCTTGTTGTTAGATAGAATCCTCTCCTTGGTCATCATTTTAACAGCATATAGTTTACCGTTATCTCGACGACGAACCTTGGATATAATTAAGGTCGAGAAAGAAGAAGTATCGCACACCATACCAAGATAACAGAACAACTTGCGCCATCCCCGATAACCTTGAGGAATTCAAAATCAGTTAGAGTAGCCTTCGATGCGTAGGAAGAGGCCCCTAGATCCTAAACGAAATACATTACATTATTACCATTGTAGGAGGACTAGTATGAGCGATTTAGTGTAGCTTCTCTATTTTCCTACATCGACGCTGAAAATCGCCTCGAGATCCTCGTTCGGTCTCAAACAAGTGAGTGGCCTTTTGAAGTCCATCAACCAAGTGTCCTAGAAAACAGTGAAACAGTTCAGGTCATCCAGCAAGCCATCATCTGAGTATCTTCCGACCTTGGCTTCCTGATCAGCTTTGTCTCCGAACTCCTTAAGACCCACGAGGTGACCAGGTGCACCCAGTTCCCGGAATCGCTCTTGTGCTTGGTCCACCAACCATCCGCAGGAAAGATCAGCAGCTGGTTGAGGAAAATCAATAGTGATAACTCGTTCGTCCAAACCTAAAGAGGACATTGACAAACTGAACTTTACCCCTCGGCGGATCGACACCTTCGCCATGTTCATCAAACTTGAGGAAGCCGTGTACATTCACAGACATCATGGGCTTACCTGATAGGTGAATTGTTCAATACTCATAACGAAGTCCTCGAATACTTACAGATTTGCGTTACAGGATGTTCGTGATGTTTCTTAGAAGGGAGGATCTTCCGTAATTGCCTAGTAGCCGAAGAGGTTGTGAAGGAAGTGGATGAGGTGGATGAGGAAGTGTTGGTAGCTCCTTTACCACTACTTCCACCACTCGATCCTCCATTTTCTCGGCTTTGTTTGTTTCCCATGGGACAGAAGATTGAATAAATGCAAAGATACAACAACCTCGGCGGGGTTTCCTCTGCAGAAACCCAATGAAGATTATTTAAGGAGATTCAGAACGCAGGATCGAAACGACAAGATGAAACACAGCAATGGGAGCGAGGAACTGCGTCACCGCATATTGGAACATATCCATAGATCAACATAATGCGAGTATATCAGCCGCGCATTCCCTCACACGAACTTCAGTACTCATCTGGCATCGGCGTAACCTATCGATGACCTCTATGGGGAGATGCTCGCTATCTTTGGCGCTCTGGCAGCAGCCAAGCGAAACAAGAACCTACAAGCTCTTCACGTAAGGTCTTTAAGGCATCCCATCGCTCACCCGATAGAGGATATCCGAATCATTTAAATCGATCTGTTTGAATGTTCCAAATATGAAAGGAATAACGGATTTGTAAGGTAACCCCAGTGATCTGTCAGTCGCTGACTCGGAGATGTTAATAAGAACCTACAGATGATATTATATACAGTGGCGGATCCCGCATCTAGGACTGAAATTATGCGCAGTATAGCGAGGGAGCAGGAGATCGATTGATATCCTACAGTTACCGAAGCGCATGCCATCCTCGTGTGTTTGTTAGTAGACTGTGTTACAGCACACATGACTGCTGGAAGGACCACTTTAGTTGCCATGTCACAGAGCACCGCCCGCGTTGTACCTAGTAATGTACTTCCACAATGTTAGTCCGAGTTAATGTGAGGATATTACTGAAGGCCGCCATGTTGGCCAGGAATCTAGCGCAGCATATACTCAAAGGAGAAGATGCTGTAGAAGGATCTCGAAGGTATTTACTTACAGTCTGCACGTATATTAAACCTCTAAAAAGTCACAATGCTTAACAATCAACATAGGGTCTGTTATAGAGGCCAAATGGAGCAATGAATGGACAAGTGGTGAGCTACCGCAAACGACACGTTCGTTGGGGTTATGGAAGAGAGAGACCCCATGCAGGACTATCAGAGGACAACAGAGAGTGACCACTTGAGGAATGATTACCTATCGGCACTCTTAAAGACATCAGCACCGTTCTCTTCCAAAAGCATCATTCTGGCCAGATCAACACCAACAAAGAGCCCTTGGTCTGGCGTCCAATTCGGTAGCAGTCTTGACCATAATGTGTAGATCGATTCATGCAAGAACTAGCAGCCACGACCACGTAAGCAATAATCAAGATAAGAGAGGTGTACCTTCTTGCTCCTCGATGAACTCTTTAAAACTTCTATCAACGCATCTAGACTGTTCAATTCATCTGCGGTTAGCTTAGACTTGTTTCCTGGAACAGATAAGCGCATATTCGTAGTATGATAATGCGGAGACCAGAGTAGCGAGTATGTCTACCATCTGGGATAGCATCATTGAGCTCAACAAGTTTCTTCTTCATCGGGTCATACTTCGCATCCTGAGGAAGGAGCGATATTCCAACGCTATGGAGGAGTAAGGATCCCCGCAACACCTTAAAGACAATCGGATCCATAAGGGGGAAGTGTTTCATGTGATGAACCGGCCTGACAGGTGCGGCTGCATGTTCAGATGAGGAACTGACCTAAGATGAGCGTATAAGCCAGAAAGAATAGAGCGAAGCGAGTAGATGTTACCGAGTGTGGCACCGTCGTGGACTGGATCGGAGGAGAGGCCGAGTGTGCTGACCCTCCCGAGGCATTAGTCTTGATGAAATCCATGATCTGGTGTATATTAGACTTATCGATCTGTATTACGCCTCAGAACAAGCATCATAAAGAGATACATGGTACACTCACCTGCTCCCTAGAACAGAACTTCTCTGCCACCACAAGCGGATTGTCGGTGTTATTGAATGGTAGGAGCGCCATCCTGAACGTATATTAAATCGATTCTAATAACTCCACATCGAACACTGACCTATCAGCGGAGCCCAACTCCACATCAAACACGTAATCATAGGAACCAGCAGGGAAGTACTGATCCCCGTGGTACTGCTTCTTATCAGCCTTGCCAGTGACCACGCCTAATAATAGATCAGCATCAATCACTTGAAAGACCATTACTCCCCGCAGTACCGATATTCTGCCAAGCACCGCTAGCCCATTGGCAGGCGATGACCTGGTCGCCCTGTCTGAACATCTTCACTTCACCATTCCTCCGTCCTCTAGTGGAGGACCTAGAATACCCACACTAGATCTAGACATAGGAGATATTTATCTCACATGGTGCTTATGTCAGGTACACTATCCAACGGCACTGCACTGGCACCCTTTCCAGCTGCCTCAGCTGCACTTGCCTCAGCTAAAGACCTCAACGACTCTCGCTCTTCTACTGGGGCCATCTAGGAACCATTCGAACATATCACATAAGCCCCACAAGGGAAGCAGTGTACCCGATCAACTTCATTAGTCCATATTCTGACGATGCCATCGCTGCAGCCCGATACGACGATTCCCTTGGAGATCTCCCTAACACTCCATATAGTGCCTGATAAGAATCATAGCAAGTTCGAACAGGGTCGTCGCACTATGCTAGGCAAAGGGCCAAGTAATATTACCCGGATGGAGTAGAGAGTTTCCTGTTGGTGTTGTAGACTCAGAAGGGTTCCAAAACTACCAACCAGAGAACAGTGCGTCAAGACATACGCTTGATATGGGTGTATCAACGCACCTTGACATTCCTGTCGTCACTGGCTGTGGTGAGCACATCGAACTTCCAATCACAATCAAACACGAACCCATTATGACCCGTTAACGTGATAGCACTGTGAGTATCGGCAGGAAGGTCATATCCAGTGCCATCCTGTTTTACAACTGGAGCTGGCCATACCTATGCATCTATAACGGTTATCAGTCTCAAAAGTAGGACCTTGATCATGCAGTCATTGCTAACACTTGCGAAGCTGCCCATAGCAGGGTTAACAGCAAAGGCTCGAATGATATCCTCGTGAGCATGTAAGATGGAACCTGTGTGACTCGCTCTTCCCTTGCTAGAAGGATTCGGGTGGATTCCTACCCAACAAGGTACCATCGGCAATCCTCCAAAACTTGATAATACCATCTTGAGCACCTAATTGACACATAAATTGGTATTCACGGATCTGACAACGAAATGAACGATACCTGTGAAACACAAGTCCCCATCGGCGGACACTCCAACTGTGACAGCGTATTTTCCGGCTTCACCTGAGCAGATATGCACAGGCACTTGTTATCAAGTGGTATACACTAGAGCAGTACCTCTCCATTCTGGTTCCTCAGTACTACCATCGAGTGTCCAACATTTGACTATGCCATCCCAGCCTCCAGATAATACTCTGATACCTGCTTAGTACATCTCAATCGTTCAACATACTAGTATAAACTTCTACCTCCCACTGTAGCGACTGAGCTCACAGCACCGTCATGGGCGTGAGATACCTTCCATAATACAGCACCATCATTGACTCTAATATGAGCTAGAGATAGATCCTTAGATCCAGAGATATAGGACTGGGAACTCTCTATTGGTTGTCGATTGACACCCGCAAGGCAGTACACATACCTGCGGTCGAGCTATCGCCTCTCATATGGAACCTTTGCCCAATATCACCCATCATGGTGTGTATGCCTAGCTGCCATAGTATAGCGTCCACTCGGTTGTTCTCCATCAGCGCTACTCCTCCATACGATAACGCTTTTATCCAGTGACCCAGATAGGATGCTACAACACAATCATGACAGAGACGACTTCACGGGTATTACGTGTGGTCTGGTAGAACAGTTAAACACCGAACATCTCCAGAATGCCCTTCAAGCTGCTGGCTTATTTCATAATCGAGTTCCATTTCAAAAACTCAACTACCCTCAGACAACAACCCTTGGCCGATACTAATATTGGTACTGATGGTATTAATGGGCGCACCGCGCCGGGCTAATCGATCTTGAATTCTTATACTTTCTAGTGTTTCCTCAGTAGGGGGTCGCAAGATTGCTCGGCGTTATTGTTCGTCTCTTCCGTACTGTCTGTCGTGAGTGAAGACTTCTCAAGCTCCCTTGTTATGCTCGTATACTGCTTGTGATGCCCCCCTCAGAAATATTCAGGTTAATCGTTCCCCCCAGTAAACATGGCCGAGGAGCGTGAGAAGAACGTGTACATCAGCAAGCTAGCCGAGCAGGCCGAGCGTTACGACGAGATGGCGGATTACATGAAGGCAGTCGCCGAGACCGGCACTGAACTAAGTGTTGAGGTAAGGTGGGTTGAAGTACTAGCTATGAGTCGAGTCCCCTAGGAGCGATGCATTTAGGAAACTTGCAAAACATCCATCGTACCAGGTGCTCGCTTTTTCTTAGCATTTACTCATTGTTACTGCTTCTTTTTACTCGTAGGAACGCAACCTCCTCTCGGTCGCTTACAAGAACGCCGTTGGCTCTCGTAGAGCTTCGTGGAGAATTGTCTCCTCTGTTGAGCAGAAGGAAACCAGTAAAGGCAACACTACTCATGCAGAGATCGCCAAGGGTTACAGGGAAAAGGTCGAAGCTGAACTGCAGGAGATCTGCGATAAGATCCTCGGCCTCCTCGATAAGTACTTAATCCCTTCTTCCCAGTCCGGCGAGTCACAGGTCTTTTATTATAAGATGAAGGGTGATTATTATCGTTACATCGCCGAATTCAGTTCGGGTGATACCAAGAGCAAAGCTGCTGATGATGCCCATCAGGCTTATAAGGAAGCCACTTCTATCGCTCAGAAGGAGCTCCTCGTTACCCATCCTATCCGTTTGGGACTGGCACTCAATTTCTCGGTCTTCTACTATGAGGTGCTTAACCAGCCTGACGAGGCCTGCAAGATGGCCAGGCAGAGCTTTGAAGATGCTATCGCTGAGTTGGACAATGTCAGCGAGGACAGCTATAAGGATTCTACTCTTATCATGCAACTCCTGCGTGATAACCTCACCTTATGGACTTCTGATCAGGATGGTGGTGCTGAAGGTGGTGCCAACTAGTCAGCTTTCAACGGCATGGTTGGCTACCGATCCTCATCTGATGGTTACAGTAGCTGAGTGATGATAGATATGCTGAATTATGTGTCGGTGATGCGCTCACTTACGGCGATATTGCCGCTCCTCATAACAATAATTGTTAGTTCTTCGATTCTTGCGTTGCTGAGTAGAGGAATGGGACAGATGTGGCGAGATCCTCACAGTCAGAGTACAACAACGAGAATCATCCAATTGAACGGCATGAGTTAGTAGCCTCATGCCCTAGCTTGATCGCATTCGTGTTAGAAAACTTTGATCACTCATACTCCCAGTCCTCGAGTCCTACACTCAAGTCAGTGCTGGTTTAGTCATGGTTTGAATATAGCAAGTCTGCAATTATAATTGAATCCAAGACCCAAGCACTGCCTTAGTCACAATCGCTTGGATGATGGCAATTGTGAGAACTTCGCGTCCTGCTCAGCCCCAGGGAGTGCGGATAGGCTTTGAGATTCAATTCATTCGTCGTATTTTGTTATTCAACAACCTCATGCGCAAAGGTCAGCGTTGAAAAGAGCTGTAGTAGGATGGCCATACGCTGCGCACACACATTGATCATGCAACACTCAAGGCTTAGCAGGGATAAGAAGGAACTACACATGGAGTGGGTTGGAGATGATCACATTGTTGGAGATGTGAACTTGCGGAATATGTTGTGATTGACCGAATGTCTTGGAGTTGATTCACACTGTATACAGAGGTCATTACACATTCCCACATATCACTGGTCACAAACACAGACATAACTCCCTTTCATGAAACTGTCAACGGTATGTTGCACAACAAATAGTGATTAAAACATAGATAGTCTCAACCGAACTCTTCCGATATCAACTAAGTCAACCAGAGCGCACAGCTCATGATAACCACACTTCTGGCTAGAGTCTCCGATGATTTTTACAGAATCGGCGTATACGATCACAAGCTTCGACTATCTTGTCCTTTGGCGGAGTGATAACTATCCGAAAGAAGTTCTCAAGCTGGAAGCACTGGCCGGGAAGGACGAAAACGGCTTGTTCTTCGAGTAACAGTCTATTGGAAAACTGAACTACTAAGGGGGTGTACAACGGAACTTACCTACTAAAGTTGATGTCGTCTTTAACGTCGATGATATCAGTGTCGATCCCGATCATAACATACATAGCAGCCTAATTGCGACACTCATTCAGTGATAGGGCTTTCAGCATCATAACGAGGGATTACTGACCTGCGGCTGGATAATATTCAACCCGGGTACGTCCATGAGTGTCTCAATAACAATTTGCGAGTTTTCGAAGAGCTGAACAGGAAGGATTCTTGATGTAGGACCATAAGGATATGAGCCCACCATTCTTTTATTGTTGCTATGGTAAGACGCTGGAGTCTCTTTCAATAAACTGGGCACCTATGCAGTAGGGAGCTCGGCAGCCCATAGCGTGACTTGGCGAACAATTCTCCCACTCACCGCAGACTGGAGTAGACTTGCAGGTCCCAAAGTTAGTGTCGAAAGGTCATGCAGCCCTTGGCGAATATCTCCCAAGACCTCACCTGAACTATTCTATACTTTGAGCTCCATCATGTCTTCCTTAGCGCTACCTCTATCATGAAGACAGACCCAACCAACTCTCCAGCCAGGTACCATAAACCTGCACAGTCGCGCTATAGGAAGGATACTTATTAGTTACACGGAAGTGGCACATGATAGAATAAATCATACATCCCACCGTTTAGCAATTCCCCCAATTGAGAGAATGGGTACTGTATCAGAGACGGAGGCAAAGGGGATCACTGGCTGTCCATCAAATGACTGAAGAGCAACAGAGCATAGAGGTGAATTCAAGTTCCCACCGAATGACCATATCATGGTAGATCTCATCGGCGATTATTGGTAAGTTACCAAACCTGAGTTACTTATAAGCAGATATGATGATGATCAGGCGGAAATAGGATGTCTGAGCCTACTCTTGACATAGCGCTACGATGTCTCCTATATGTTCACGTGTCCAGTTACTGCCACAAGGATTACTAGGATTATTCAGGAGTATACCCTTGGCATTAAGTTTATTACTTTCCAAACTGCGTTGCAGGGAGGTCATATCCACCTGAAGTAACTCAGTTACACAAGATAGGGACATTGCTATAGATAACCTCAAATTTTCTATCGCTCCGTAACTTATAAAAGTCGACGTTTATACCTCTCGAAGAGCACAAGGTATCTAAGGCACATCCCTCCTGGCTGAGTTCTGCATCTGGTGAGCAGATGCATAGCATTTACTGTATAGTGGGAAGGAGGGCTGAGGCAAGAGTATTGTATCCTCTCCATTCGTGTTAGCGAGAACAGCGATAGCCATGTCAATGGCCTATAACACAGAGATAGATACTAGAACGAAGACTATCCACTCACTTGACTCGCCCCACACGTCATGACAACGTCATCTATGATAGGAGGGGGATGATCTGGATACATGATCAACACAGAGGTAGGAATTTCTCAAGTACTCGGGTTCACGGCGTTCTCATCAGCAACGGCTTGCCGTACTGCAGCGTATCCACACGAATGTGGGTATCCATTATACGCGAAAGACCTATGACACCGTATGGGACGGTTGCGCCGGACAGAACTTGTCCGTGAGCTTTTCTCACTTGAGATTTTCTCGTAAGACACCATCGACAACATGCTGCGGAGCTCTGAAGTTACCATAAACCGTCGGGTCCCCGATTGAGAGCTGTAGGAGCAGCATGGGATGAAGAATTGGGACATAGGAACCCACCGGTATAGTCTCCAGATTGGGATTAGGTTTCACCTTCAACTGGTCGACTATCCTCCTAAAATAGAGACTCTCATCATTGTGCGACCCCCACCTTAGATGACCTAATAGGGTTGGCTGTTCGAGCAGCAATTATGCTCCTCGGAATGAGCCTATGCGCATCGCAAGCAGCTGACATTGTGAAGGAACCCGTAGCAGATAGGACAGGTAAGCAAACTATGATGGTAGTAGCATCAACACTCCCCCGACATGAGACAGTGTATTCATTGCTTGGTTCTGGATGCAACCACTTATGCTGTGGAACAGCGTCTCGAGCGTGCACCAACCGTGGCACTCCATACGAAACTCTACAAGAAAGATTAAGTAAAATGATGAAAAGAATACGGCTTAATGAGTGCCTGCTCTGCGTTCGAGGCGGCCGAGATAATCTGTCACTTGCTCATAAACTACTAACATTATGCCACCGCCTGGACCCAAACGGATAATCTTTGGTGCAAGCCCCTTCCATAGTGACGATACCTGGAACGATGACCACAACATCGTCATTGAGTAATAAGGAGACTCACCCCTTCTGTTCGCGCTACATGGAGTAGCAAGGGAACTGTGCGTGTTGGTACCTGATGGAATCACCCGATCTCGGCAGCCGTGTTGCTGATAAGTAGCCGTAGTTGATTGCTCACTGCTAGTAGCCTTTCTGCATCCTCGGGTCGAGCCTGCTTTAAAGCTGATGAATTCTGCATTCTAGTCTTGACAACATCGAGAGGAGTGTTGACACAACACCCGAGGGAGCCGGCAATGGTACCTGAACGGTCCTCGATCCAGAAGACGATGTGTCCCATTCGCTTTGCGTGAGGGTAAATCCCTCAATGGGGGAGGGCATCGCGAAGAGTGGAGAAATATTCGTACCAGCAGCGAAGTTCAGGAATTTAGACTCCTCCTTGGTTGTGGAGTATATGGTCGACTTGATGGCGAAGATACTCCCAAAATAGGTCCCTGAATGGGTGTGATTGGAAGCTACAAGAGCACATATTACCATTCCAGCAGGCGTTCCTGAGCAGTGTACACCAGAAGCCAGTGAAGAGTGCCGCAACACCCTCATGCCGAATAATCGCACTTGCGGCCTGTCGCGTCTCATGAATGGTATTAAGCCTAGAGAAGTGTAGCATACCTGTATGCTCGAGGAGTAGAGGCCTCTGTTTTCGGGTAGCTGCATACGTATCTTCACCAGCTCTGGTGAGCACACTATAGCTCCTTCGCATATACCAGCTCCTACACCACTCATTAATGCTAGCGTCTGGCCGGAGTATCCGAGCCTGGACTAAGGTAATTGAGGACGATCTGGCGAGTATGGCCTCACCTTTGAAAACTATCTCGCAACTGAGCATTAGTAGAAAACTTTAGAGCCCGTTTAGGTGTCTCAGACAGTAAGGGGAAGAGCATTCCGCGATAAATACGAATACGCTCATCCTTGATTGCTCTGGTGAGTACCTAGTGATTACCAACCGTTAACAAGCGAACAGAGTGAATCATTGATAACACAATGAACATGTTATTCTGTCGACCTGTCCCTGCCATAGCTCTCGTCTTGATAACATCAAGAGGGTACCTAAGTGGTGATTATTGCAACTTCCATGGCGTCTGATAGAAATAGAACACCTCCCAGCCCCACACCTACATTGCGGTAAGCTCCACCATACCTGCAATACCACCTGCGATAACACTATGAGAGAAAGGCGTAGTGGAGTGAGTAGCATTAGTCGGGTGCGGGGACGGCATATGGCGAAGGTTACACCAAGGCTCGGGTCGCTGCTTCATCAGTGGGGTCGCGGTTGATGACGAGGAAATCCACAAAGCACGACAATTATTCGATATGAAATAGTTTTCACTCTGATACACAACCCCTGGAAAGTGGAACTAACCTCGATCCGCTAGAGCAATGACGATGTCGATGATAGTATTGCTCCAAGTATCCATACTTGTACATAGCCTTCATAATTACCAAGTTCCGACCAGCATTAACCTACATACCTTCCCCATACTGGTACGGATGACACTGTACCCGAATCGATCTGATAGCTGATTCGGTGCCTGGTTGTGGGCTTCACCCTACATGATTATCGGTTTGAATCCGGTCCGGATCTCTGATGACAGTGGTAGGAAAGGTCCCCGAAGCTTGCTCAATGGCAACACTCAACACAGATAAACTGGGTAGCATACATCTATGCTCATAAGTTCGAACAGACAAACGAATATCGGATAGCTCATGCCAAGAGTTACAACCACGGTGGGACGAAACTCAGAGAAAAAAACGTAACAGGAGAATAGTCAATCGATACCGCAGGTCGCAGCAAAAAACGATGCTGTTGATAACGATGGTAAGGGTGGTAAGATATGCACTATGCTCGAATGGTCACTATATGGTTGGATAAGCTCTTGATGGGCCCTCGCCAATCATGAAGGCCAAAGCTCTCTAGGAGTTTCCAAGGTCAGTCGCCGCAGAGTACATGGACCCAAAAAACGTCTCGGCATTGAATTGAGTCTATAGAATACCTAGGAAAGTGCAATAACTAATATTACGGATACAAACTAACGTCGCGACGTTGTAATAGTAGGAGATGAAGTATCTACATTCGCAGTCTGGTGAATGAGGATAACGGTATCCACGGAGCAGTCCATGAGGGGGACTCTAGGCCTCTAGCATAATGGATATAGATCATCGGATCCAGGCAGGAGCCAAGTATTCACACTCATGCACCAGATGAATAACAATTCACGTGGCTTAGCGACACTGTGATTCAATGAGCTAGATGAGATGATCAGTGAAGCATCCATATTGAGAGACATTACGTCGTGGAAAGAGACCCCCAGGATAAGGTGTGGGTATCGCAGAGCATGGGGGTATTGAAAACCCCTACAGAGCAAAGCTGTGTAAATAGTGTACTATGAGTGCATGTACCTGTTATATGTGGATAGTTGGATATAGACATGATAGGCATGATTGTAGTACCCATCACCAATCACCACTGTCTATAGCAATCCCTCCTCCCTCCCCCAAAGGTTTCCTTCAGCTAGCCATGCCGACCACACAGAGCTACTACAATGAACGATTGCTTTATTCTCGGCCTTAAATCCTCAGATATGCAGGATATGATCCTGATTACCAACTCGACTACATCATCATCAAATAAATATCCTCAGATCAGACGATAGATCAACGTGTCAAACTTCAACCATAGATTGGGAAATAGCATTTAAAAGGACCGATGCGACATGATTATACGGGGAGGAATCCCCAGTAGAAAAGGGATTCCCCTTGAGGGTATGACCATCCACTCTAATCACTCGTTGTTGGGTTGGTTGCGAGGACTGAAGTATCTGAGAGAGGGGACAGCACTCTCTAGTTGCTGCTGCTGAAGATGCACGATGGATCTAACCTGAAGTCCATGAATATCCCCAAGGCTAGCAACAGAGCCTTCCATCGAGGATTCTGAACTTGCCCAAATGTGATCCAATAGTTATCTTGTTCCTGATAGAATATCAATATGATAAATGGTAGAGATGGCAAGAACCTTGAAGCATATTGGGCAACAGTCACCCCACATCCAATACTTGTCGATTTTCCCAACCCCGGAATTATTCCTAAGATAAATTTCAAAAAATGCCAGTGAGACCATAGTATAGAACTTACATCGAATCGGTCAATTCCACACCAACGTGTTGACAGGGGCCACACGGTAAGGGACAGCACATCCCTAACTGACAGCATCCTCCAACCCCTGTGATGACATCATTCCCAGCTGCATCTTTAATCTTGAATGTGAGATCACAGCATGCATAGGGATCGTGCAAGGTACCCAACAACCTAACAGTCTAATAAATGCAACACGTGGCTCTCCTTCGGATCAACTCACTGATCAGTCGACGTCTCAGTCACATAGGCTACTGGTCGATTGGCACACAAGCAGGTACAGGAACACGGACGATGTACTGTGAGCCAATGGATGAGATCTCCACGTAGTCTGCACAACCAGAGCAAAGTGTCCAGTCCGTTATAAAGCCTAGTGATGCCATTAACCAGCGTAGTCATGATGATAAAGCATCGGAGTGACATAATCTCCCAATGAGCCGCAGTATGAGACGAGGACCTACCCGTTAGGCCCCAGTACATATATATGCAAGTCCCATGGGGCACAATCCGCGGGGTAACAATTCCTCTCACACACATTAGATTCTTCAACAGCATAGAAAATGTCGCGTCCTGCCTCATCCTTGACGATATACCTAGATTAGCATCATCTGCTGCATACCCGTCATGGACGAGTTGTTCCTACTTGTTACGTTGATCAAAGCCCGTAATGGCTTCGACCATCTGACGTAGTTCACGGACTTGAACCTAGAATGGATCATACACCATATAGGGAGTAGGGTGATTGAATACCTTTTGCAGGCCAGCCACAATCTGCATACCATCAAGAACGGTAGTAGGCCTACCTACCGGCATGGGATTGCCGATGACTGTAGCCATCTGGACCTAGGAGTACATTAAGACTCAACAGCGATCATAATAGGATAAGATACCTGCCCTGGAGGTTGGATCTGAGGGTTGGGGTATTGCATAATGGAACAGAGGAAAGCACCGACTGACTAACGGGATCAATATCATTTAGAAACACAAGACACGAGTGAAAGTTCTGGAAACAACAAATAAATCTTCCATCTCGGAAACAACAATGTAGTTCATGCAATCAACTTGAGTGCATGATTGAATCAAGGACTCGAGATGCTCGAATATCAACCCGACTACCCTCGATGGTGATGCAGCTTACGATACACTCGCGGTACTTGATGGATGCACTAAGGCCAGTGACTCGCTCTCAGTAGAAGCGGCAACTTCATGGAGATTATTCGAAAACCTGTTGCAAAGAGGCGAATAACAAACAACAAGCAGAAGGAAGTCGAGTCACTTCTCAGAGAGGTCGACAGCCTCGAAGCCCATTGTGCGGCAGAGACCAGCTAACCGCTCCTTCGCTCCGCTAGATTTCAATGCTTTCATCTTCACCAACACACTCGGTCCTAGGATCTGCACATAGCATGTAGTTCACTAAGCATCCTTCAATGTTGACTACATCCCCAAGTGAAAGGCGCACATCCGATATCTTATGATAGCCAGATTGAACCACCAGCGTACACAAGGAGACGAAATCCGATGGAAGCAGATATGAAGCGTGTCGTACTGCGGCTTGACAGATGAGGTTACGAAGCTCTGACGGACAAAGACATCATTGATGGCCTCAAGCTGTGCGTTTGAGACCTAACGTGTGGCATTCCCCGACACTATCATCGAATGCTGCTATACACAATGATTTCCTCACTTTCAATCTCCATCATTGAGGCATCTCCTGTATCCATTTTACATAAGAGAGACAACACTCGACATAGTAACTTGGCCAAATGAATATTCCCCTCCTGATGACCACTAGGGAAAGGTACTGAGACCTCTGTCACAATGTCCAAACACCTTCGGGCAATCTGTGGGACCAGTGAAGGGTGTGTCGTCAAAAGCGGACTGTATCGTGCCTAATAGAGTAAAGCCATAGTTGAAATAATAGTAGAGGACCTCACCAGCAATGAGAGCTCGGTTGTATTCAAGGTATGTATTGTCATCCTCCGAAGGAGTATCCGTAGCAGTTCATCCGCCTCGGCACATCGACCGTGTAGATGATGAATAAGGTATACAGCCGCCTGCTGATACGACAATGGTAAGGTGGTGAGTGAAGAGGCATCAAACGCTGAATTGGTGTTATCAGCAAAGTTATCGACTTGCCACTGCATTGCACTGCATATTGTTGGTGATACCCGACCATAACCGATGACGGCGTCTATTAAGTAGATGTCTGGTACCGAATTGGCCTAAAGTTGGTATCCTCAGCATGATGTGGGAAGAGAACGCTACCTCAAGCACCTCACCACTAGCATCCCTCATAGCTATGAGAGCTCCAGGTGGGAAATCTAGTGCCTCAGAAGTGGCACATGTTATGAGCATATCAGATACCTGTATGAAGGTCATCATCCTCAAGAGAAGTAGTAGGCATTCAGATGTAGGAGAGGATATCATACTTACCTCAGTATTCCCATCGACTCCAGCAGTGATTGCTATTCGGACATAGTCATCCACTTTACAGAGGTTGTTGTGGAGCCTTTGGATCAAATGATCAGCAATACATGTTCTCACCGTACGAGAGGGTACGCTACCAAGTATACCAGCCAGAGACTACAACAGGAATACTCCATCAGCACAATTACCAATAAAGTATAACCTCAATAGGCGTGGTCGTTAATTTACGTTCCAGGTGTATCTTAGTGAGAGACATAAGACTATGCATGTCCTGATGCAAGGCAGGCAGAGTCTCGGCAGCATATATGGTACCTGTAGAAGATTGAGTAGGTGAGTGAGTTGAATCCATACCTACTAGCTAGGGCACTAGCTGTTTGATTACGAACACCCCTAACTGATGCACTAGCCATACGCCTCAATAACACATCAATCCCTGCTCTAGTCTCTTGTGGTATATTATCCTAAACCAGCACCAGCATCGATAGTGATCAGTGTTGAGAATGTTATACACAAGCTAGACCAAGATTGAGCATCAGGCTCGGTATCATTTCCGCTTGGAGGAGTGGGAGATGTTCAGCCAATGCTGCTGACAGAGCTGATACCTAACAAGCACTACTACCCCCCTTCGTACGAACAATCCCGTATTGGCCATACAGTAGTGTATGATGGTCGCCACCAGTCGCCGAACTTAGATAGTTTCCCTAGAGCAGCAACTGTTATTGATATCTGCTCCACCTCCATAAGAGATATCCGAGCACACAGGGAAGAGGATGCAGCTAGAAGGATGTATGCACGAGCTGCAGCAGCAGCAGCACGTACTATACCTTCGAGTAGTGCTTGGTGAGGGGAGGGTGAGGCCAATGGTTGGGGCATCAACGGCAGCAAGTTGACGTAACTATGAGAGGTGAAGCTCGAAGGGGACAAAGAATATATATGGTTATTACGAGCGGAAAATGGTAGGTATATCAACTACTCGCACTGACTCCATTTGGTAAGTTAATTGCCTGCATATGAAGAGCCCAGCACAGTATCTCATGAAAGACACTAAAGATGCGTACTACCGACTAATAGCTGTCAGTGCTGCTTGACTTGTCATCTTCAGCTTAGCCATGGCTCCAAGGCACTCTGTAATGGATCTGTTGGTAAACACCTTCAATAAAGTGACCTTCATCAACCACTCGCTAACCTACCTAACGTTGGATGATGACATTGTATCCGGAACCAGTTGAATGAGCTTATGAAGTTCTGGTTTACACAAGATGCCACACTAAGAGGATGAATAGACGAGGTAGTCTACCTATACAGTGTACATCGCTACCTCCTCACTAAAGGCTGATGCTGCCTTGAGTAAATAAGCAATATCAACGCCGTGAAGGCGGTGTGCATCATCGCGGGTGACGGCTGTATAGAGAACCTTGACCTTTTACACGGCAAGGATGCTGTCCCTGTGAGGAGTGGTGATTTGTTTACATCATTAGTATTAGTAGGCCAATGTTTGGCTATCCATAAGGTACCGAATAGTATGCCAACGATGTACGAAGGTTTCATATCATTAGCCATATCAGCTGCGGCCGCAATAGCTTTGTTGAACCTACCACTACCAGTGCCATAGTCTAAGTGGTATTTATCATACAACTCCTTATTTTCCACACGTAGCCTAGCTGCCGTATGTATGGTATATGCTAGTTCCTTCGGTGGCTGATCCTCCACTTTTTGATACAGGAACTGCATGGGTATCTAATATAGAACATATACCTCAGTAACATCCAGATAGAGAGTTAACTCGAGCAGGGTTGACACCGGTTTCAATATGGTCCATGAACTCCAGCTTGTATAGTCCCTTTTTACTCTGTCGTCTAGGGGCGAAGTGGCGAATGCCAATCCGCTTTACAGGTAACCTCTTGGAAGAAAAAAGTAAGAGTAACATTACCTGCAGGTGGAGACAAGTATCGTGAGGACTGCTGTTACTTAACTGTGTGCTACTCAACACAACAACATAGCAGGAACACTAGAAATGGTAACCTTATCTAACAGAACGTCGACATGCACGTGGATCCTTGAAGAACCTTATGAAACTATCAAGACCGCTGAAAGAGACCTATACGCCTAAGGCTGCCATCGAAGGAGTCTTTTGAAGGTATGGTGAGAGGTCATAGATGCTTAGTCGATGAAGTCATTTGTGTATTGGTATGGAACCAGTTAACACCATCTCCAACTGGTCTCGATGTAGCATTGTGGTGCGGTATGAACCACCATAGCGTACTCGAACCCATCACTTGTTCCACATTCCTTCTCCGGCCCATATCGTACTTAAGCCTATCAGAGTCATTTTGTTGCTTGCTTGTATCCCCACCTTCCCTCTCCACATTCTCAATCGTCGTGCTGTTCTCAATTACCAAAGTCACGTGAAACTTGAGGAAGCTGGTTAGAGTAATGATAAAGAAAAGAGCAACGATATAGGCGACGACAATGAGGACATCACCTGCATCCAGGAATCTTATATCTACCATCACCACTTCACTAACATGCAAATAGAGAGGGTAGGAGCCAGTAACTATATACACTGCTAGAGTAGCATAGACGTAAAATAATAATTGTATGAAGAACTTGCGGTTATAAAATCCAACACAGTTGTTTATCCATGGGCAATGATGATCCATATTCAAGTTACAACGGTTACAGATACTACAGTGATGTGTTCTCTCCGGCTTCCACACGTTACACATCTTACAATACCTTCGTCGTTTGTTTTCTTCTCCAATGTGGAAGCCCCAATATAACGGTACAGCACCAGGATCCGTAGTAACAGACATGTACAGTGACCATAGACTCATTGCTATCAATATGTGAAATGAGCACAATAAGAGAGATACCGAGGTCCGAGGTAAGAGAGGGCCCCATAGTAGGAATACGAAACTGGTGTATTCAATCGTTATTAGGAAGAGTACTACCACCACAAACCATATACCATACGCATTATTGGGTTTGTTTGGTCGGTTATAGGATTCAGGTAGAAGGAGATGGGAGGTATCATGCATTCTTGAGGATCACATGAACTGACAGATAACTGTTCCGATGGTCCAACACTTGTAGTGTTGTCGAGGAGTCTGCTCATTACTCCTACCACCACATTCCAGCTCCCATACGTCATTGTACGATACTACCACTGAACTCAGGTACATATTGGCATAGAAACGTGACACAATTGGATAATGGAGATTACTACGAAGGGTTCCCTTCACTGTTGCCGTGTGGCCTCCTCATATGGTGGCTGTCAGCGAATATCATGTGTTGTGCTCTCTGTGAGGCTAGTACACAGGAGACTAGCTCGATACTGGCCGATAGCTGAAGAGTTACTTGTCGCGATAGGAAGAACTATGTTACTACCCCATCCTGTGCTGCTAATCCCAACCCTATGCATTGCTGGGATGTTGGGCATATTGGTGGAGACTCTGGCCCACCTGAGATGTCACCAAGATGATACCATATATATAACGACTACCAAGCTAAACTACTACCAGTGCGGAGTTCGATACTCCTCTGGTGTCGTCCTCTGCCTCCCGCAGTAGCTGTTATCCCACCCTCGGGGGAAGATCGATGCTTCTTTGTTCGCCTCTCACTAAGCCTAGCTTGCTGAGTCCCTGGGTTCTGCCGTGATGGTTCCATGCATCTGAAGCCATTATAGATTCCCAAACGGTGTTCCCATCTGATGTCCTTACTCGCAGTTTTCCTCCTCTTCCTCACGCCCACTTCCAGCGGGAGCATTGCCAACTTGTGTGTTGTCCACCACGGGCCCTTTAGATGAAGCCTGGGTAGCACCTCCGCTACGACCCCTGTCTGCAGTGATATCTCCAAGACTAGCTTTCGTCTTGGCTCCAGCATCAGCTACCAGCTTGCGTAGATAGGGGAGTTGCTGGTCTGCCGAGTTGATCTGCTCAGTATTGGTTGAGAGGGGTGAGGAACATAGTAGAGCCACCCAGGAAGAGTTAGACAGCTTGGTGAGTATAAGATTATCCAATGGTGACTTCAGATACTCGACCTGATCCCACATAATGACTCACCCCAAAGTATGGGAGCATTACCTCCAAAGAATAATAACTATTGGCATGAGCGCCAAAATCTTGGACTTTATCCAATGGTATATTACCAACTACACGAGCAGCACCATCAGCTGCTGTACCACTGGGAGCAGAGGAAGTCTTCTCATACGTTCGAAAGGCACCTAATAACACCGCAATACCCTGACTATATATTGCGCACTCTTTACCAATCTCAACTCTTCTCTGTGCTGTTGTTTTCACAGGGTCTATGACTACCGCAACGAACGGTTCATTAGCCCTCTGGTATAGACGCTGAGTTTCGACGTCTGAAGCGGCGTACACTAGACCTACCATTATCCAGATATTTCATTACTACCAATGCCCGATAACCAACAACCATATCCAGGATGGCTATGGTACCAACCGACCACGTTATCGTTGGATATCTGCGACTCATTGGATTCCACGAAATCTATCATAAACTCATTGGCTGTCGCGCCGGCATTGACCCTAGACAAATGACTGATAAGGGGCTCTTGATACCAGCACTTACCGAGTTTCAGTGCCCTCCACAGGTAAAGGGAAGGCGTCAGTTATGATGAAGTCATGTCCGACGATACGACCCTACAATAGATAGTTACTAACCCTACTGAAGAGGGCTATCCCTGCTTTACTTGCATTAGGCCCATAACTTCAATATCACCACCCGAGGCTACATGAGTAACCATCTTCACCATAGCATTGGCTGTGATACGAGCCTACCGATAAATGTGTCATTCACCTACTCCACATTTGTTACCTTCTTGAAAAAGTCTGGATCAGATCTCCATGGTTTATCCATATGCAGCTTCTCTTGCTCATCAGTGCTCACTGGGGCATATCTAAGGCTAGTTAGAGTACACTTGAGCCATTGGTTGCCTCTTACACTCTCCGTAGCTCTCTAGCCAAGGTTGTCGGCTGCCCAGTGCTGTCGTGACCCCGGCATAAGGCCTCAAAGCGAGTAACCATTATTATTACTATCACTAGTAGGGTTATCTATAATTACACGCACAGACGGTAATAGCAATCACTCCCAGGCAAGGAAACAGTAATCATTGAAAACACAACACCAGCAGGAGTATGTCGAAAATGTTGATACTTCCGCCAAGTTGTTGGGATGAGATACTCTCGCGGAACAGTGGCAGGAGGGCTGGTGAGCAAGATGGACATCTAAGTGTCGCCCATACATACACTGGGAGTCACGAAAGAATGAGAGGAATACCACAGCATCCACAAAAAAGCAAGCTGTTGAAGGACTGGTTGTTTGGTTATAAGTAGTAGGCACCCTCATCGGAATAGTTCAGGTGCGCCAAGAGAGTCCACATTCTCCCACCGTTTGTTGGTATCCACCTAGGGAAAGAATGCATGTACTACTCCTACACCCCTAAGAAGCACGGGAAGGGCCCATTAAACGACACTGCTTCCACACACGATGCCTACACCAGGAGCAGCGCTCTCGGATAAAATATTACCCAGTTCTGTGAGTCAATAGGATTGCCAGAAGAGTCATCCTTGCATAGTTGGAATTCGAGATCAGCACTAGGAGTGGGCGCCAGACAATAGCTATTCCATGTAAGACGGTGACCTTCCAGCTCGAAGTGTTGATTATCATTCCCAGCCATACACCAATAGCTCACTGGACGAGCACCTTCCCGCCTAGGACTAGCTGCATCCAAACATCTATTATCTGCTAGAGTTTTCAACATCCTCCCATTATCTTGCCAATAGAACCTCCGTGATTTATCATCGGTATTACAAGCAGATTCAAGTCGGAAGACCCCATTACGATGTGCAAGGCAGCCTCGAGGGTTTTGGAGCATGAAACTTTCATAGGCCATGGCATTAGCAGATACCAATGGATCACGGAATTTAGACATCCACCAATCAAGATCGTAGGGACACTTCCTATTAACTTGTGCAATATCATCAGCCAACCATTCATTGAATGGTACTGAGGGCTGCCTTGACTGCGATGCTGTTACTATATACCCCGGAGCTATTGTCACCTCCGATAACCGAGAGACAATTATCTGACAGAGCAGGAGATCGCGTTAAGTATCCAAGTAACAAGAGTAAGCCACATGGCCATAGCGAGTGGCTATACCATAATTCCGTATCACCTGCCCTCCACACAGCCATGTTCTCATACTCAGGCTTAGAGTTAGATGCTCACGCAAGAGCTTCTGATTCGTATCCACTTCGTTTAGCCAAAACTTGGTAGTAGCAAAGACGGCTAATTGAGGCATTACTGGACTCTGAGTTCGATGATGATACTCGTCGGATAGAAAAAATACAGGGCCTCACCTCCTCCATCTTGTCTATGTTCAAGGCTGTTATTTGATAGTTCTTATTAACCGCCCCCTGTACCCTGCCATAACACATACTCACCAGTTATGTTATGAACGATTCGAGCATTACCGATCGGATCCACCATAATGAACTACAGGTATCGCAATGGTGTTCTTTCTAACCAGTGCCTCTCGAGCAATACCATTGAGCCAGTCCCGCTTGAGATCCGTTACACCAGCTTGGACCTAATCCAAAGAGTGAACAAACAATCAGTCGATGCAGCCTTACGAAGATTATTGTATCCGTCTGCTCATCAGTGCATTCTAAATACTTAGGGACCTCTTTAGAGGAGCAATACCGGACCTGATAGGATCAAGTACTCAGCACGAGTGTATATAGTTCAGGAAGGGGAAACCTTACAAAAGAATTAGTGGCGCCAATACCACCACTAACGGGTAAGTCCTCGGGAGCATACAAGATAACTTCCTTGATCAAAGACTTGGAACTATTCTCTATGACCTCATCAACTGTCCGTGATATGTCGCTAGATGATATCTTCCCTCCTTCTAAGGAAGCTGGTATATAAACAATAACCGATACATAAGGATAGCTCGCCGAACGCAGCTCATCTCCAGCCTTATATTCGACATGTTGGAATCCCTTACCTATACCAACATACTTGCGATGCATATTCGATTGGTTATACGTTACTTGCTGGTGAATCCATACTGTGTATCCATGCACTGTTCATATTGTAATCCCGTAGACTCACTATCAACGCTATTTGGTTAGCAAGTAGTATTGCAGTTAGTATGGAGAATCTCATATCCTTTCGGAAGATCAGGAATACCATGATACTCATGGCGGCCATCACCAACGCCATGGTAATACCTAAGAGTTTATCTGATAGCTCATCGAGCCCCCACATACGCATATCCCCATCGACCATTCCTGATTACCATCCCACTACCTGTCCATCGTAGTGGCCTCACTATTCCCAGTGCCAATGCAGGCCCTATGAGCAGGCTGATACGGGTCAGGAGAGGACTACCACGACCATGTTTACCGGCCATACCAATACAGCAAACGACAGTCAAACACTAAAGCGACTAAATATAGGAGTACTTCGCAATGTGGAAGTGTGGCGACGATACCTATCACTGCTAGGGAGTACCAACGCTCCATCATCCAGCCCGTACACAACCAATATCTCAGGTTCACAGCCAACACAACACTAACACAGGCAATGACATGAATCTACCCTCAGATCTGGCCAATCCGGTATACTGATCAGCAGACACGCCTCATCCCGGGGCAAGATTGCATGATTATTTTCGATGCACAGTAAGGGCGTGCGCTACAGTATCGACTTCCGCTTGAATTGCGGAAGTTTGGTGCAGACGGCCTGAGGATGGTTATGTTGTTGTTGCATCATGCTTTGCTTTCATACTACGGCTCTACGACGCAGGATAAGCACCCTAGCAGTCAGGAAAGGGCTTGTTAGGAGTGGCTCTGAACCGGCTTTACAAGGTATGACGGAATCAGAACGGGTGGCAGCACTATCTCCCAAGAACCAATCCCATTACGTGGAAAGGGCTGCTATTATACATGGCTCTATCAGCAATAAGGAGGGGGTAGGTTGCGATAGGCTTATTATTGTCTAACATTGTTGTCGGCAGTTACTAGTATATACAAGCCCATTCACTGAAGAGGTCCTTACGGTATTGGCACAGAGTATAGTTGCGAATATAGACCAGTTGGATGGTAAGGACTGTTATAGGATGATCATGGTAATCATGATAACTCTCTCGTCAACAGTTGAAACCCATTCTCAGGGTCTAGGGAACCTTGGCCTTTTAACAAGCTCTGCCCTGGTACTATTAACAGCTAGACTCAATAGGACCATAAGGGAACTGCGGTTAGAGGAAGTAGTGGACCTTGCTAAGCTGATAGTGCGGGCAGGAATGGTGGAGAATGGGGTATTGATTTTAGTTGCTCACGTCATTGACTGTATCACTTACGGCTAGGTCCCCCTCTTTGTATTAGTATCTCGGACAGTATCCATGAAGTTGAGTCTTGCCACTGGGAAGGACCTAGTACGGCTAGCTACTGCCTTTGCTGATGCTAGTATAAGCGATGTGGCCCTTTTCGATCGGTAAGCCCAGTACACCTGTTGGCTGTGGCATAAGTTGATGATGATGCATAGGCTTGGGGTACACCTTAGTGGTGTGATCCATACACTCACTGTTGGAGTACTCGTCGATGCTTTACTAGCATTCGCCCGCCTACGAATGAGGCATGATCTCCTCCTTTTAAAGGCATCTGGTAGGGGCGATAAAGTTAGGATATGGATGCTGGCATCTCCATTTTAGACGTACTGGCGTCTAAGATTGGACAGCTAGACCCCGAACAACTATGTCATGTAGCCTTCGTCTATGGTCGTTTCGAACAAGTCCATCCTAGCCTCCATGAAGCATTGGAGAGTCGGATGGGAAAGGTAATGATGGCAGCAGATTCTTATCCAAGTCCTGGCACTCTTGTTCAGATATTCGTATTAACACCCCAAGGTGGTTCTGGGTACCCAACTCATGGACCGCTGCCCATTCCCTCCCTGTGTGATCTCACTATATCCGTGGCTATACTAGACCTCCAGTGGATCGGTCAGAGAGCCTATTTAGAGGAAATGTTCAGTGCTGTCGACTGGGACGAGATCTCACTGCCGGGTTCTATAAGCTCCCGATCCGTAAGCAGGGTTATTGCGTACCTTCTAGGTCGGGTTTCTGCGGCCCTGGCTCGGCTTGGGGCCAATCCTCCACTATCAGCCTTTAGAAGAGCATCAGGGAGTACCACTGAGGTGTGCGATTGGCTGGCAGCTTGTGGGGACTTGGCCGACCGGGGATACAGTCTTGATCTAGACTTGAAAAATATCATCATGTAGACTCTTCAAGTCAGCAGAGGCCTGTGGTACCCTCCTCATTAGGGTTACCTCACACCGTATGGTTTCCCGAATGCTCCAGGATAGGATGACGACTTCCATGGATGTTAGAGATGTAGCCGTTATCTTGCGATCTCTGAGGCTACTACCACCCTCTTTCTCGGACCAATGTACCGAGCTCATTTTCGTACTAGAGGTACTAGTGTCCCTCGATATGCGGAGTCCTATCTGCTGAGCAGGATCGCTATGAAGAACTGTGTCGAAGGCTCGGTAGGGACACCATACCCTCTCGGATAGCAGTATCCATGGTTTACTCGCGTATAGCATTGCGACGGCCTGTGAGCCGAACAGAAGCTCAAGTGGGTATATGCTTGTTAGCAATCAACAGCTGGGGTCAGGTACTTTGTGATGATCTGGATAAGTTACCAGCTGATCTCCGAGATGAAGACCCCTATCAGCTTTCTATCATCAAGTACATGTTCAGTATTGATGGAGGTAGTCGCATCATTGTTGGTCGAGAACCAACTTCTTACTGCGGCAAGGTCCCACCAATCAGGCTTCAGCGTCTCGAGGATCACCACATGCCCATGATATACTAGCGGTCCTTGGTGGTCCCACAGACGATGGTCAACGTCGTGTTGGCTGTCGGGAGGGGCCATTCTTAGCTGATGTTGTCGACGCGACTGTCGACCCCCCAACTGTGTAACATGGTTCATCTTGGCTTGATCGCCGTTGAGTATACAGTAGGTACATCTGTCTGAGTGGTCATGATTTTGCACTAGATGGAGACCTGAGCAATTACACTAAATTAAGGCTGCATGCATTGATAGCAAAGGCAGGGTGGCCAAGGGTCGTGCCCCTATCGAGTAAGAACTGGAGGACAGCTACTGATAAGCTCAACTACCTACATCAAGCGACAGCTAATGGAGAGGGGTATACTGAGTGTATTGATGGACGTTCGAAGCTTGGGGATACATGTGTTTCTGAGTCCAATTCATGTTTCAGTTAGTGGATGTATAGAGCTGTGTTATAGTATCGCGATAACGCTATCACTGAGCTCCTTGTCTCACTATACGGCTCTCCACTACACTGAGCCCGTCCACATTCATCCATTGTAGTTTCTGAGTATTCCTATCCTTATTCGTCTCCTCTAAAATGGGTAAGCGTGCAGGCCGCGGTAAGTCGGAGTACAAGCCATGGAAGAAGAGAGGCAAGACAGAACAAGGAGGTGCCTCGGAACAAGCAGCTAAGGAGGGTGAGTGATCCATAGTGGGCAAGTTGGAGTGATGATGCGGATGTTGGTAGTAGACAAACAGAAAGGAGATAAGAAGGCCGACAACGGCTGGAGTAGCTGTAATACAGATCCTATACATATGGAGAATGAGCAGTGGGAGATGTACTAGCAGCCTTTTCATGATGATCACATCAATAGACCACTCTCTCTATACCTCCATGGAATATCACTTACATAGGTACTACTCCAACATGCCTGGCTTGTTCAAGTCTCGTGAGGACTTTGATGCTATGAAGGAGACCATGAAGACCCCTTTACCAGTTTCGATACGTATTAACCCAAGTTCGCCTCTGTGGAGGGATGTTGCCAATCGTTGCGAGGTAACTTCAAGCCCGATAGCCAGAATAGGCACCCCCGTAGTATCTGTTTGCACTATTATTCAGGAGTTGTCCAAGGAGCCCACTCAGTCCGCTATGGGGGAAGATGATGATGTGGATGAGACAGTGAAGAAGGGTATGCAGTCCAGGGCCCTCGACTGGTAAGAATCACTTCTATAATATGAGTTATCATACGCCTACTTATAGGTACTTTGATGGCTTCAAAGAGTCTACACCAAGGAGATGCTGGCAATGGGATGCTTTAGGAAGGAAAGATGTGAAGAAGAAGGCCGAGTTGAAGGAGTTGAAACAATGGTTCGTCAGCCAGGAGCTTAGAGGGTAGAAGGGGTGAGAGGTATGAGTTGGTGTAATGGAGTTGTCCTCTGTATAGGTGTGTTGCCCGTCAAGAGGCCGTATCTATGATACCAGCACTCTTCGCTAAAATAGACAGGCCTGATCTCACAGTCATGGATATGTGTGCTGCTCCTGGTATGATAATAATACTAGTGGCTGAGCTAATTGGCAGCTGCTGTGATTAGGTTCTAAGACATGTCAGATGATAGAGTCTTTGAGTAACACCAGCAGCAGCAGCAGCAGTTCGTCATGCTCTCCTGAGTTCTCCATCCCAGAGGGCTTAGTGCTTGCTAATGATATAGAATGGAAACGAGCCAATATGCTAGCCCATCAAGTAATCCCCCAACTTGATATGCAAACAGAAGTGGTTCAGGTCCTGCGATTGAACTCTCCTGCTTCTGGAGTTGTCAACTTCGATGCATCCTGTTTCCCAGTACTCTGGGACGAGGAAGGCAAGCAGGTCCTCTTCGATAGAGTTCTTTGTGATGTAGGCCACTATTACGGTCACTACCATTGTTGTTGAGGACCATTGATGACAGGTCCCATGCACAAGTGATGGTACTATGCGTAAGAACCCTGACATCTGGAGGGAGTGGAAGACTGGCAACAGCATTGCTATCCATCATAGGCAGTTCCGAATCTTACTCCGGGTACTCCTGTATTACTTAGCGACTCGTTCAAGTTTGTCGTGTAGGGATTGGAGCTCGCCAAGCCTGGCGGTAGAGTGGTATATTCAACCTGTAGTCTTAATCCCATTGAGGACGAGGCAGTAGTTGCTGCTGCCCTGGCCAACTTCAATGGCGAAGTGAAGTTGGTTGCGGGACCAGCTGTTGGTCATGCTACTTATAGTATCGCTGCTCCTCGTGGAGAGATGTATTCAGGCGGACGACCTGGCCTATCAACCTGGACTGTTTCCCCACCTGGTGATGCCGCTACCCATATTGATAAATATGAGGATACTCCTGATCAATATAAAAAGAAGATGTTATCCAGTAAGCCCTACTGTCATCCTCTCTTCTCTATTCTATTGTCAGGCATGTGGCCTCCTACTGACGAGTCCATCAAGGCCCAACTACATCATTGCCGACGCTTCTTCCCTCATGATATCAATGCGGGAGGCTTCTTCGTAGCAGCTTTCGAGAAGGTGTCTAACGACGCTGTTGATTCTAATGAGGAGTCAGCAGCTACTGACAAGCATGCTCCCGAGCAGCGTCGTGGAGGCCGGCCTGCTGCTGTTGATGGTACGATAATCATGCTTCATGCCTGTGCGCATCGTCATCATCATCATCATCATCTCATTCAGCCAAGCCCATCTGTAAGGAGTACTATCCATGCCCGAAAGAGTCCCTGGATACCATACGAGAGTTCTATGGTGTCACTGAGGATATGCTGCCTAGCGAGCTACTCTGGTGTAGGAAGGATCAGCCTAAGAAGGTGTTCCTTCTCAGTAAGGCAGCGGTTAAGTAATATACATACACCCTTCTAGCCTTACCCCGAACGCTCAGGATGGTGAAGGCCAAGACGAGATCACCCTTCCGAGTAGCTAATTTGGGTGTACGCGCCTTCCAATTGGTGGAAATTAAGCATCCCAAGGATGAGAACGCTATTAAGGGACCTCCTAATTGGTACCTACTCCTCCTCCTCTACTCTCACAAATCTACTCGATTTCCCCAGGCGTATTGGACAAGATGGTGCCCCTGCTCTTCTACCATTATTAAATAGAGTTGCTGAGGATAAGAGGCAAGTCATCGAGATACCTAGCCTCGAGGCTCTAGCCCAGTAATAACCAAACATGATAGCTCGAGTACCACTCAACGCCTGATGCTATTCAGGTTACTCGATAGGAAAGAAGCAACTTTAGAGGAACTAGGATGTGGTGATAAGAAGACGATGAAGCCAGGTGGGGTGATAGCCACACTGCCCTCTTCTTTTGCTGTCCATGGCGGTACTGTGGCCGTAGCCTGTATGCTAGCCCAGAGTGGTAAGGTCCAATGCTATATGGACAAGCTCCAAGCTGGAGCATTACTACAGGCAGTGAGAGATTCTGTAAAAAAGGCCTCTCAAGGGGACGTACAGCAGAAATGAACTTAATCTACCAACTAGTCCAAGTGGCTACTGACGTTGTCTCATACATATCTACTGTTCAGCTATTGATGATATTGCGTTATCAGTCAGAACAATCAACGTCAAGTAGAATATTCTCATTTAACCCATCCACTGGCATTTACAAGTAACATCCATAGAGCTTTGTGCACACTGGAAAACTGTCACTAAGATCGTCCCTATGCATCTTCGCACCATTTATTCTCCTCACGTAACTGAAGTGGAAATAAATCGTTCACCCCAACTAGCAACCAGTACTACGTGTGCTTCTTCCTCGGGCGTAAAGTCGTTAACGATGTTAAACTGCTGACGAATCTCCTCGGTAGTCTTCCCCTTGATCATCGATGCAACCTCGACAACGACTATAGACTGACTATAGGATGAAATGGTACTACCTTAGCACACGTTAGATCGAGTAGAGGCTTGATGTCCATATAGTTGGCAGCCAGGATGAGCTCGAACAGCATCTCCTACAATGATATCGTTATTGAATATTACTAATACTGAACGCTGTATCCTCCACAATACTACCTGCTCGATGTTGACATAATCACAGTCCCAATCACTGACACCACATTCTGCCAAGTTAGTAGACTTCAATGGTTTGCTTATCTCGTCGGGTGGATTGCTCTCATGGTGCTTGCAATACTCGATCACCTACATTATAGCAATAGCATCTAGAAGGCGGCTCCTCCCACATAACAATAAGCCTTCTCTTCCCCGTTACCAAAGGGAGTATTACCTTAGCCAATATAGCAGTCTTAACATTAGGTAAGGGTATCTCCTCATCTACACCGCCATCCTCTACCATATTCTGGATTAGATTCGACATACATGCGACATTGGTCTGACATCACACCCTACATAATACCCGACATCCATATGATGCTATATAATATTACCGGAACATCAAAGACCTCGCCTTGAGAGGATCTCAACTTCACTGTTTCCCCGTCAATAGTGCTTCCCACAGTATTCATACACCACAATACAAAATGTACAACTGTACTTGAACAAGCCTATAACTACTGATACTAAACGAGACACCCGGGATAACGAAATGTTGAGTATATGTGATATTCTAATCACGTCGTGATCCAAGCAGGTGCAGGTAATGATATCACGCGTCCTCACACCACTTATTTTCTTCTCGAACCTGAACATGCGACAAGTAGTCACGTCATCCAAGAGGAGTACGCACCGAACAACAGACTATGATAAAACGGAATCGAACACTCCACTAAGATTTACCTCAGCCTCCTCTTCCGGAGTAAAGTCGTTGACGATATTGAATTGTTGGCGAATTTCCTCTGGTGTCTTGCCCTTTATCATCGATGCAACCTACATACGATGCTCCCACGATAGTACATGACATGACAGCATGAGTACGAATTACCTTAGCACATGTTAGGTCCAACAGAGGCTTGATGTCCAAATAGTTCGCAGCTAGAATTAACTCGAAAAGGATCTCCTAACAGGGGATAGTATGGTAAGTACCACTAGGACCAATGAGCACAGCAAGAGTGTGGAGATAGGGTCGTCAAGGCTATGCAGCAGCCCTACCTGTTCGATGTTCACAAATTCACAGTCCCAATCACTGACCCCACATTCCGCAAGACTCGTTGACTTTAACGGTTTAGTTATCTCATCAGGGGGGTTCTCCTTATGATGCTTGCAATACTCAATTACCTGTAATGGTTGTACGTCAGACTATAGAAACGGTGATACGTGGGGTTATTCTCAACAATTACCTTAGCCAATATAGCAGTCTTAACATTAGGTAAGGGTATCTCCTCATCTACACCGCCATCCTCTACCATATTCTGGATTAAATTCGACATACATGCTACTGCCGACTGAAAAGATTAATGTTAACTCCAATAATATAAAACAGCGGGTGACAAGCTATATCTCGACAGTATTAAGTAAGGGGTAGTGTTGACAGTATTACTACCTCAACCTCGAAGACCTCTCCTTGAGATGAGCGAAGGTGGATCATCTCAGTGGAAGATGCCATGGTGATAGGGGGGCGACACTGATAACATCACCCTAACATCTAGAGTTACGTCGAAGCATCGCTCCGCCGTCGCCCAAGAACGCAAGATCCTCCACCTATTAGCCACGAGCCTGATGGTAGTCCATTTACATTATGACACACGTTATGCCGACAACACCATCTATGAATGGTATATCGCAGGCTATCGATACTATGATACACAATAAGTTATGTGCAGTAAACCCTCATGAACCAGGATGTGCTGCTACTCATCCTTTTGGAGGTGGTCCTCTACACATAGTTATTTGGTGATGAGTGTGGATATAGATACCTTACGTAATCGTCATGTATGGTGGGGTTATGGTAAGGGAGGTCTACGAGAGGCTAGAGTTATTACTATATTAATACGGCTGTATACTGTAGTAGATGGTTCCTCAATCAGGGGTATCCTGCCATGGAAGGACAGTGTGAAGGAGTACAGCTGATCCCAATTGATAAGGTCGCTGATACTAGTGTACTTCGGACGATTGAAAGTAATACGCCTTATGAGGTAATATCAACTAGCTGCCTTGTATTGCCGGTTGGATGAGCAGTAGATACGGCTCCATCAGCATGCTCTCAGCTCACTGTCATATTTTATCTTGTCGCTATTGCCGGCATACCCTCGTCTAATGTCTATATCTACTTTCCTGTCTTACAGTATCGTAGTGTTAAGTCTATGTGGCACGATGGATATAGCCCTGTGATCCACCAATTGAAGTATGATCAGTGATGAAGCATCGGGTGAAGCAGCCGTGATAGGGACGAGTACATCTCTCACTGCTAACACCGCCAACAGCAGCAACAGCAGCTCCGGCGTCACTCGTCCTCTTATGCCCACCCGCAGGTTTATGAGGTCATCTAGCCTCTAGATGGTCTGCTCACTCAACGGTTCAGATATTCAGCTGCTTCTGCTGCCAATAGCAAGAATCGATTATCTAATATACCAGTGAAACGATACACGGACAAGAGCTTCGAAATTCAGACAGGTTATACGGTATCTTTGTCGTCATGAGAAGGAATATCTCTGGTTAGGTATATCATCTATTGGTAGAAGTAGAAGACTGTCTGAATGCATAATGGGCCAGGTAATGGGATCTACTATCTATCCGAAAATGGTACTGTTCACCGCATTTATGTAGGAATTAGCCACACCTAGGGTGCACGATTTCCATGTAGATGAATGCCTAGCTCCCAAGAAGGACCATGGTAATAACGTTGGTATGGTATTCTTCTCATATACTTCCCTCTATTAGTGAGTGTAAGGGTTGGCTCACTAGCGTCCCCAGCTGATTTGGCCTCTCGCTTTGATGACACACTCAATCGGATGACGCCAGTGTCTGAGGCCAGAAGGCCGGTAGAGGATTCGAATCAGGTAACAGTTACGATGTAGCGGTTACGGTAGGGCTGGTTCATCACAGGGGCGATCACCACATGAGACCACAACTCTGACGGCAGCGGCCGACGGGCTCCTAAGCCAATTGACGCTCCCTCCAACCAGACGACACTTTTCAAGGTAATGCTTTAATGGATCAATATTCGCCGACGGCTTATTAAGGTATTCCGCGACGGCTCATCCAAGTGCTGCTGTTCGAAAGACCAGTGAAGCAGTGGCTCGGACTGCCAGGCGGAGAAGTAAGTCTATTCCATCATCATAATGCGTAGCTTCTATTGTATTGGATAACCGAATCAGGTATTGGTATATCACAGTCAGATGAGGGATGTGAAGTGGCCTCTCCCTCTGCCATCAATCAGGACGTCATCGATGGGGTATGTATTAGGTGTGGCACACGATGTAGAGGGTATGTTAGGTGGAGCTCGTCAGTGAACCAGCAACATCACCACTTCAATCGGAGGAGGAAGGGGAGCTCGCGGCCTCTTTAGTTGGAACACCAGCGCCTCCCGTAAATGTCTTGTAGACTTTCATGGGTCTACGCTCGTCCACTGCTGTAGACGGCATCCAACAAAATGAAGTCCCCTCCTACATTCAAGAGACGAAGGTCGGCAAGACTCTCAGGTTCTGGCAAGCGTTCAAGGCTCTCTGAGGATCAGGCTGCATAATCGGATAATTAATATTAGCTCATACATGCAAGTGTACTCGTCGTATTTGTGGACTCCATACCGGACAGCTATAAATCACTTATTTCCTTAACTTATATACTCTTGAGTGATGAGTGTTGACAAGGTTCTTTATGCGTATAACATACAGGTGTGGGTCTTATCATCAGTTGAATGGTGGGCAAAACTCCTATCCTAATTTATCATAGTATGAAGCTTCAAGAGAGTGTATGAAACCGAACTTGAGTCCTTGCACAAGCTGATCGCTAGTCAGAGTTCCATCTTGTCCATCATCTTACGAATCAGCCTGGGTTCAAGTATACCACTCCACCAAAGCCCGGTCCGGGTTGGAGACTATGCATCCATGCATACAAACAACCAGTTGAGATAGATGTCATTTCCCGAGCAAACGAACGTTCAAGAAATATTCGAACAGATAATCGTGGCCGGGCACTTTGGCTGGAATTTGATATTGTCGTTATTGACTTGTAAGATTGCGACGTTTGCTCTGTCTATCCGAAATCCAACTGGCTTGCTCAACAACATAGATGTTATCGTGATACGGCGCATGAGCATACACAACTTCACAACATCTTCATCATGATAGCATTACGGTATATATAATCTATTTTGCTACAGCCAAATAATCGGTACTATTGACAGAAGGAGGTGACCCATCCAATATGCACCATGTGCAACAGATGTGGCACGGCGCAAAGGTCCGTAACAGGAGGTCAGACCATTACAATCGTCAGAAGATCTCTGTACAGTGGCAATATCATCTGTACACCTACCTGTACCACACATCCAATTCCCAGTAGATAGGTCACACCTATGAAAGGCGGCATATGGGGAATATCCTACCACCACAAGAGGTTCCTCACCAGCTCGAGTCTAGTGGTCTCGTCTCAACACAGTCCCGTCCATCATCTCCTAGGAGGGCTCTACGGGCTTCCTCCAAAGTCGTGGATGGTGGAATCGAGATCACGCCGGGCACTGTGATAGCGAACCTGTTTAGTAGTTACAGCATGAGCATAGTATAGCATAGTAGCACACCTAGAATATCCAGACATACCCATGTAGGTTGGATTGGTTACATCATAACACTTGGTCTGAGGTAGTGCATAGTCCCCTGGGACATTGGCAGCCGCCAAGTAGCTGATCATGGAGACATACACCGAGCTCTAATAGGCAATGCTGATACCTCAATGTGAGATCTTCGTGTGCAGATATCCCGTCTACTTCCCATACCACTGTATCTTTGCCTGTCCTCCTCGTTACTCTCCTGCATGGTAACCACCAATGTGATGCGGCACACGGTGATTCCGGCCGTGTCGAAGATATCAGGGCCTCTGCCTTGCTAGGACCATCTGGCACCCGTCGTGGAAGCGGCGCTGCAGCATGGTGTCTGGGCTTACCGTAGTCAGCCAGACCTGGCCCTGATGACGGATCAGTCTGATAGTCAATAGAGTTGAGATTGTCATCCTGAGGTTCGAGGCCACTCGATGCCTTGTCCTAAGATCCGCTTATAGCCTATCTGATACAATTGGTATACCTCCACTATGAGCGACCGCACATCATCGCGTGATACGATGTTAATGGTGACACATACTAATTGCCCCGTCACCGCTGAGGTGAGCATGTCACCCTTACACTGCCCCGTGGACATGTCGAATAGCTGAGAGGACCAGTTAGCTAGCATCGGGTGATGTGTCTAGCCCCACTTGGATGAACTTGCGGACAGTGAAGCCTCTATCTATTGGCCACGTAAATGGATGCTTTGGGAGTATGTTGGCGGTAAGGAATGTGAAGGCAGTTCCATTACCGGTTACGTTCCACCTGATGTCAGTAGTACCAGACGTAGGCTGCATCGCCACAGTAACACTTCAGAGGGCCTCCATAAGCGGTACTATTGGGCTCTGCAGCAGCACTGCTACCGGCATGGGGCAACAACCACAACGTTGCTGAGGCTGGATTGCCTTCGGTGAGAGAAGTCTCCCAGATAATATCATTATCCCCGTTGGATACACTCATCTGAGGGGCATGAGGCTGCTCCATGGTATGCTGGCAAGAGGCCTACCTCAAGCCTTGGGGAGGTATTACCCATAGAACTATCCACTACTGTAAAGGCCTCTATGGCGAAGAGCAAAGCCTCTGTAGAGAAACTAATAAGGGCATGAGCATTGATATCGATGATGCTCCTGGTGTATGGTAGTTACCTTATACTGTATATACCCCATTTAGCCTCTACACCTCCCTGGCCTAGCCATACTCCAACTCTCCATAGCAGCTCTGGACCTAGCTTACGACTATGAACACACGATGATGATACTCACAATTCATACTTGCTTGCTGCTCTTGTTGTTGGACACTAAGTGCAGCCAAATGAAGTGCTAGGGCCTGTAGATTGTCTGATAATGGTGATGGTAGTCCTGGACTTGCTATGTATCTACGATGTTCATCTCACTACATTTAGTATAGTCACCGTAGGTACGCAGTCTCGCCACTGCTGACTCGTATGTTATTCCATAGCACTGCCTGGGCATCCTCACTTGATATATTACCAATGTTTACTCTCATCAACAACCATGCAGTCATACTATCCTTAGGATCTAATAACTCCATAAAGGTATCGACCCTAGAGTATGGAGGTGGTAGGCCATCAAGATGAGTGTAACCTATACTGGACAGTGTCAGAGCAGCAGTAGCAAGAACAATATCATCCAACCTGTAGCATGATATAGCCTAGCAACATCTTCGTAAGGATGGGCATGAGGGTAGGTGTTGAGGATGCCCTTAATATACCCGATGGCTGTCCCGAGCCACATGTCACGGGCAGCTGCAAAGCGTTCTCCAGTGGAGCCTCTGAGGGCAATGATAGCGAGAGAATGGAGCCATATGCTGACGTATGATGGGTCGGGGGAGTCTAACAAGATAAGTACAGGGATGTGGAGATAGCATGCAGAAGGTATTATACTCCTGCTCCACTTGAGTACACCATCAACAGTGTGCATGTGCATGAGCTGATGGAGGAGTTCCTCGGGTAGTAGTAGCAGGTGGGGATCGTCTAGGATGATATCATCGCTCCTTACAGCACCTACCGCGCCGCCACTACGACTCAGTAAGGTACATGATACCGAACCATTACTTAGGCAATATAGAGTAGCGATGAGGATGTCTGTACGTACATCTCCCATCTCCTCGGTGAACATGTTGTATGGGGTGAACGCAGTACGATGACAGTGATCGACGATCCTTTGGGTAGAAGGATGACTCCGCTGATAGCCGCACTTGGGATGATGATGGTATGAAGTCAGGTAGCTCAATATACTCCTCCCACTACGAGGTACACTAGCATAGTTAGAGTGTGATGATCTATTACCACTCCCGGAGCCGCTATAGACCGACTAGTCCCTATAACGATCGGATGGCTATGCGGACCTATCAGTACCCATACTATCATCTCGTCAACAACAGATCTGGTAGCATCATACAGTGTATAGTGTATCTAGCCCACTACAACTGACCACACCACCACTACTATCTCTACTACCACCTACCCAGCCTCTATTGCTCCTAGTATCATCATCGTGTATAGTGGCTACTACTGGCATCTTGAATAGAGCGTACAATACACCAGCATTGCCTGGTATGGTGAGTAGATGAGTGCTCTGTAATGCTTCCATGGGGGAGAAGATACCATCGGACATATTGGTGACCACCACCTGATATATTGTCAACACGACACCACCAATCCATCATCAGCCCCTCCTACCGTTAGATTCAATCCGGCTAGCTGCTGAGTAGTATGGTTGGTGGCTATCACGGCAACACCCATGACTGGCTCATCAGTGATCCTGCTAGAAGGAGTAATGAAGAAAGGGAGGGCATCACTTACCGTAAAGATCGAGGTACATAGGGCTCCATATAAATAGGAGAGGATACTCTTATGGAGGTGCTTGCATCAGCCAACTGAGCTATGCTCATGGACCCTTCAGACGATGATTCATAACCCATCATGTAAGCACTCATCTTGTATCTGTTTGTGAAGATACAGTAGGGTCCATGTATACCACTGAGGGCACCTCTTCCTATCTTGACCAAGCATGAAGGTTACAGTAGCCTCCCCAGTTGAGGTAAGATCCACAAAATTGAAGTACACAGTTCTAGGTGGGTCCGTAGCTATAATGAGCAACATCAAAAGTAGGTGAATGCCGTTGATCCCTACTGCCCTCTCGGGGACCTTCCATAGGAGCAGCAGCAGCATCAGCTTCTCGATCAGGTGTGCTACCCTCGGCAGGGGTTGGTGCTAAATCAGTACCACCGTCCGATGAGAAACTGAACCAGACTCCTGCTATGGCTATGCTCACCATTCATGTGCTCGATGGCATACACCTCATCGCCACCGTCAATACTCTTCTCCACATAAGGGCATCTTGGACTAGAGTCATGTCGGCGAGTATGCGTGGTATAGCTGGGGATCGGAGATGGTTCTGGTCACGATGAGATCAGAAGAATCACCTCATATAATTGCCTGGTCCTAAAGGTTGTTCAAATGCAGGAGTATTGAGATAGGATAGGTACTCATCATCTAGCCAGTAGGGATCGAAGTTGACCTATCAGTGACTTAGTTGATGTAACTCCTCCTCTCCTTACCGCAAACCATGGGTCCTCATCAGCAATATCCCATACATGTTGGGCATTCTCCCACAGCATCTTAGATGATGTTATAAAGGCATGAGAATCGACGAGGCTTGTCGATGCGCTCCCAATCATACCTGTTGGTGATTACCGAACCAACCACTGGCCACGACTCTCCACACTACCTAGGATATCCTCTACTGTGGTAGGAGTCGGTAAGGGCTTCAGATCGATCACACCTTCATCTACCACTGCTATGAGGACCGAGCCATTTGGCACACCCCCTCTAACTGATATCATAACCTGCATCAGAGAACGGTAGGCTGTTACACGACGTGATGGTGTAATACTTCATCCCCAGGAGAGTAATCCTCTTTATCACTATAGATGTCGAAGGAATCAGCATAGGCCCGATGAGGACGGGCCAGATAATCTTTGATATCCAAAATGGCCTCGCCACTAGTATACCTAGTGCAAGCTATCTGATCAATGTAGGGGGGGCGACATGATGACCTAGGGCCGCTCCAGTCCGGTAAGGTTGCACTCTCATCATGTATGGAACTGTTGACTAGACTGAAGGGCACCTCAGTAATTGATTGCCAGAGGTAGGCTGATAGTGTTACTGAGTCACCTAAAATATTCAAAACATTATCAAGATGATACTGCCACGTTCTCCACCCAAGATCGATAGGTCCTCTATATGAATGACCTCATTGATCGTATCTTGTTCTGTATCTACAGTCACTACACCTGTATGACCACCGGGCCAGGTTATCCTAAAGAGGGTATATACAGTCGCATCGATGTTGACGACTATCCTACCATATAAAGGTGGGCTCTTGAGCACCCTTATACGGATTGGCGCACGACATGGCCACCTCGACTGGGGACAGGACGGTGAACTCTGATGTACTCCTCAATCAAGTACCATACACAAGGAGGATCGCTACCACTAGATAACTCTGCTGAACATCTTAGGGAGTCCATGGAGAAAGCATAGGATGTGATCTTGGGTGGTGATGGTGCGATGTCTCTACAAGCCGTCACTGGAGGGCTACCATCGATCGTCTCGACCTATAGAGTGTGGTACACTATACCACACTATGACCAATACTCACCTGTATGACTATGGCAAGGAGGTCGGACGTGGGCATATGGTCGATCATCATCTTACAATGGACGGTGGTATCAGCAAGCGAGCAGCTATAATGTTGGAGGCCCTGTGAGACGGCAGCCCTAGCCTGCTTACATGTAGCACCATCTACGACATAGGACCTATGGAGAGTATCTGGTTACTACCATGGAGGCATAGCACATACCGAATGGTGAGAGACCCATCCAGTGAGGAGAAGAGGTCACCGTTCCCTGTTGGTATGATTCTGGCTGATGCATTGAACTCGATACCGGGGATAGGATTGTTAACCGACAGCTGTAAGGGGTCCAGCCTCAGCAGAGGGTGCTCAATTGTTATGCTCGCACTCTGACTCAAGACTGCACCCAACGGATCACGAGCGATCGCTGTAATCTGAGAAGTGATAACATTACCAGAGGATTGATGATCCCCTCACCTCGATGGTCTGCCCTTCGGTCCATGGCCCCTCTATATCATCGAAGAGGGAGATCCTGGCCACCCCCTCATCGTTAGTTTCGTAAGTAGCAGCATAAGTATCGTAGTCCTCAGATGAATAGCCACATGTTGATACACTATTGCTAGGGCCTCGCACAGTAACTCTAACGTCTACTGCTGTACCAGCCAAAGGTGTACCACTGTAGGTAGCTATGGTAACGTACGTATCGTTGGAGGTGGGCACCTTATCCACCGTGGTAAGAGAAGGTACAATCAAATCCATCACAGCAATGGGCACTCTAGGTTCCGCTATGAGCAACTGTGGAACATCCAATCCGAGTATATCACACCCATGTTGGGGGGCAGTGGCCTCCACTAGGGGATCGGCAAGACTACAGCTGTGAACTGTGAATGTTGGGTATGATCCTAGAGGGACCGACATTGGGACTGTGATATTAAACGGACTTATAGCGCCTTTACCATCAACAGGCAGAGGGAGTATCACTTTGGGTAGAGAGGGAGACCAGGTGACTGTTAGATTAAACACATAAGGTGTGAAGTCGGCTGGCTGACATGCTAGACAAGTAATAGTCGAGGAGAGTATCCATCCAGCCATCATCAATACCCCTCCCGGTGCATATAGCCCACGATCTGGAATTAGGGTGACATGGAGCTGTATGGGCCTCCTCTCCTCCTCGTGCTGTAGGTCGCCTTCATCGTATCGGAAGGAGCCACGGTTTAAGTAGATTCGAGCGGGGTGTATGTAGACCACATTGTCATCGATTAGGACTACCACAGTGATGGATTGTTGCTCACACATTGGACAGGATGACACGAAGAGATACCCTTGTGGATCCGTGGTAGCATTGTAAACAAGCTGATCTCTGCTACCCCAGAGCTGTATGTCCGCCATTATAGGGTCAGTGAGCTGTACATGCAGCCCGGATACATTACGCAGGACGACGGCCTCTACTTCACCATCACTCCCTCGTAGGGGACCACCACCGATGATTACTGGTGATAAGAGGACTTGTAGAGTGGATGTTGTTACGAATCGAGTAGTATGATACCATTGAGGCCGGGTGCTGTCGATCACTGTGATGATACTGACGTTAGGTACATGGGCCACGGTATCGTTGAGGATCTGCGTGAGGCCACGAGATAGATATGATGTGTTACCCGTTTGATGGATCCCCGCACAAGGGTCGTACATGCCGGTATCACGCCTATAACCAACGACGACCCTCAAAGCCTCAGGGAGGTTCTCAACAGTTACTGGGCATGCAGTGACACACCATCGTTCGGCAGCTCTAGTTACTAGTGGATAGCCTTGTGATGTATCGAATAGAGGGAGCTGGGTCACATGATAGGCACCATAATCCTGCATGAGGTCGGCCCTCTCTTCGGCCATATAAAAGCTACCAGTTGACCTTTCCAATGGCATACCAAGATTGTCCATGATGGGAGGGGTAGGGGGCACAACGTGTACTACGTATCGAGTACCAGGCACCAGCTCGCCACTGAGTACCACCCTAGATTTGTTACGTACCACAGCTTCGTACTCAGCTACAAGCGGCGTTAATATGATGACTGAGGTTAGATTGGTGCCCGAGGGCAGGCCGTGCTGGATAGCCATCGACAGACGCCTTGATGACATCTCACGGCTATATTCATGGTCATAGAATACCAACTGGAAGGGGATGTACCCAGTAAGGGTGATTGATATCTCACCACGCCATGCGCCCGAATGCTCAGCATAGGGCATCGTACGTGAGAAGGCCAAGCCACACTCTTCTCCTGGGGCTAATGGCTGTTGTAATGTAATATTGAAACAAGTGACTAAGTCCCATGACCCAGGCACAGAGCAGGGGTGGGGAGTGGGAGGCTCGGCGTAAAGGATAGTGATGTGATCACAAGTCAGGAAGCCTGGTATGGATATGAGGGTCCTGTCCACAGGTCTATCTGTCCATAGGGTCACGATGGAATCTGGAGGCATCTCGTACTTGTCGGAATAGGCTCTACCAAGGTACCCAAGCTAAGAGGAGGACCGTCATCACGATAGAAGAGGTGGCTAAGATGTTCCTTACATCGCTCCGCCATGCTCCATCGGTTGCATTGTGCCCGATTTCACTGAAGACCTCCGTGACATAGAAGTTGAGTGACTGTGTCGTCCATGAGGGCGGTTTTCTGAGGTCCACAGAGCATCAGATAAACACTATGATAGGAGGTACCATATTACTCCTCAAGTACAATACTCTTCCCCCTATAGGATGTGAAAGTCTTATTAACCTCAAAGGATATAGTTATATCGCCAGGCCAGAGCTATCGATCAGGGAGACAACAATGATCGGTAGTTAGGGTTGTTGAGAGTAGTACCTTATCCTCAACGTCAAATCTAAGTATGGATGTCGTAACCCATCTCCATCGACCAAATTCTAAAGGTGAGACCTCGTCTGAGGACTAAAGCACAGCAATGCTGCCTATTTACTATGGGACGGCATCCTACATGCAGTAGAATAGGTGATCCATTGGGTAGGGAGGATGTGCTTAGATCTGTACCGAACTTAATCACACTCTCAGAGAAGATTACTTGAATAGGCTCGCTTCTAAGGATACTCTCTGGACCTGTAGACGGGTAGTAACTTTCCATAGTTAGGCTATCTCGTTACTTGGTGTGATTGTCTGTATGGAGACCTGACCTATGGTGTAGCCTACCACCATGGACAGCATTACCAGCGATAGCCATATCATGAGATGTAATATGAGGATACTACTCAAGTATAGCAAATGGACGCTGAAAAGAGGTATTGGTCTCACTGGCCGAACAGGAGTGGGTCAGAGGAGTTCAAGAGCTACTGAGGATCCCTCCGCTCCACCCAAACGGATGAATTGATCTACTTCAAACAGGTCACCACTCGATGCAATTGGAAACATGGGCACTGACGAGGTTCGACATCTGGTAACATGATGGCGAAGAATGCCACTTGAAGCTCCATGTCTGAGCTCTGCAGGAGGATGGAATAGAGTATCATCTACATGAAATCTGAGAACAGTACCTCAACGTTGATAGTGGAAGGCTTTACGAGGAAGCGTGGAGCATAGGAAACAAGGCCAGATGTCTCGATCTGGCTAGTACTACTATCGACATGGCGACACAGAGACCATACATGCTGACGTTGCTTAACACAAGCTACAAGAAATGTAAGATCAACTGGAAGATAATGTTACCAGCTCCACAAGAACAAATCTTAGGACGAAAGGAATTATTTTAGGGCGTGCGCGACAAATGATGCGCAGTGCGGGCCGTTGCATAATGGGAGATCGAGGAAGGGTTCACCTAGAACATCCACACACCTCGACCTCAGAGTGTTGTGGACCTGTTACACCATTGCTCTCATCATCATCTTTTGATATGTTGGGGCGGCATCGACTATGTACTATCCATTTGTTATACATAATATTGATGATGGTGAGTATAATAGTGTGGAACATCGAGTTGATCACGCACATGTCCATGCCGATTGGGATGCACCGCATTTCGACTCCTAGTTCTTGATTATGTTTCTAGGTATGGGACCGTCCTATAGTAGACGGATGATGATGAAGACTCTACCGTATTGGGCCAGGAGTATGATGCACTGTCATGCCTCTCACTGTCATCCCCCATCATGTCCTCCTGTATGGGCAGTAGCATGGTGCCCTATCCATGTATGTTGTCGTTGATGTCGGATTCTCCTGGCCGCAGGTATCCGATGCTAACAGAGGAATCAGTTGATGGTAGCATGTGTCGACTACAATCTACATGCCCCATCACCCTACATCGGTGATGCAGTATCTGGGGTATACGTTAAGACTAGGTACGGCTATCGGAAGGGATACTGACTTCACTGGCGCTTGTGTGGGTGGAGAGTATTTACGACGGTATTGATGCAGCCTACCCAGAGCCTATGGATTATGTAGTATTGGGAAGGGACTCGGCCCACCAGTTGCAGAGACAGCTGCACCCATATCGAAGCGTGTCATACTACTGCATGTCTTGGTCCTGTAAGTAGCGACGCATACACTACCTCGTATCCTAGGCAACTGTTATATCATAAACAACATCATCCCCACCCTCCTCTCAGCTCGTGTAGAAGTACTCTACCATGTGAATGCCGGTGGAGGCGATCACTCTCCGAATGATGATGATATCCTACCATTAGGGTACATGCTAAGACCTTGTATTATACTTGCCTTCCTGCTGAAAGGTTGTTATAGGTAGCTTATGCAAGCTTGTCGCGTTGAGTCCATAATTACATCTCGATCATGGTATCGTACAGTTTCTTCCGGTGGTTCTTAGCTACACTATCCCATGGGTGCCTCGCGGGAGAGGGGTCGTGATGATATCACAGCAGAGGGCCGCAGCCCACGTAGTGATAGTAGACGTAGGGGTGGTAGAGATAGATCGAGGCATGGATCGGATGATGGAGGGGATGTCCACTCGAAGAGGGTTAGGGAAGATAGTAATGCCAGGAGTCAGCGTGATAATCCTCGAGACGAGCCGCATCGTAGCCGTAATGACGACCCCGAAGATAGTCCTACTCGGAAGCGTAAGGAGGATACAGGTGATGATGGAGACAGGAAAAGGTCTACAAAGGATTATGATCGAACAGCCGCTCGCCATAGTAGTAGGGATGATCGGTCCTCTAGGAGGAGTCGTAGTAGAGGTAGTAGAAGGGTTCAGCGTCCTACCGCCGACATGGATACCTTCATCAGATCGGGATCGTGGAGAGGGGCATCGTCGTCATCGCCGTCATCATCATTATGATAGCCGAGAACGCTCTAGACGTAGGAGTCCTATCAGACGTGATCGGAGGCCTAGGGATAGGAGGAAGCGTTGGAGCCGGTCTCCCTCTGAGAAACAGAAAAAGCCTTTCAAGTGAGGAGCCCTTCCTCGCTCGTATTCGGGCCTACTTCATAGTTCTATGCATCATCATCAGATTCGATTCCCCACCTAAGGAGCTGGCTGCCCAACTAGACGGAAGTGGAACATCGTTGCTAGGAGTAGGGCTGCTTGTATAGAGGTTGATAGTAGTGCTGATGATGTTAGTTGCCTCAAACGGTTGTATCATCCTCCTCTACCATAAAGGAGGCCTTCAATGCTACTCTAGCAGCTGAGAGGCAGAAGATCGCTAGAGAGCTGTACATAGGGCAGATTCCACCTGGCGTACTACCATTACTCACCATCAACTATACTCGATAGTGATATGTTACTAGATATCTGCAGCCCACTTGATCGATGTATTGAATGATAGTCTTATGAATATGGGTGCTAATGCAATGCCAGGCCGGCCTATCGTACATGGATGGTTAGGTAGTAGTAGTAGCAGTGATGTACTCTAGTAATGCTGTAGGGTGGTATACCAGGTGGGGATGGTTTATTTGCCTTTGTTGAATTCCGTACTGCAGAGGAGGCTAGTATAGCTTTAGAGAGGCTCAATGGGCATCAGCTTAAGTCATATGGTAGCATAAGCAATACTACACGCGACATCTGTCACTTAGCATTTATCAGGTGTGAGCATTAAAGTAGGCCGTCCTAAGGGGTACATGGGCCCTGCACCCGAGGATTCAGTCAATGCCTATACTGCAGGGGGCAATACGGCATCATCATCATCATCTGCTATTCCAGGAGGGATATCTGCTGCTGAAGGTAGGCTGACTGGGATGATGCTGGGTTGTAGTTATTTGGGCTCAGTTGCATCCGATACCAGTAGACTATGCCTCATCGGATTCCCTTTGAAGGCAAGTGAACACTCTATCAAACGGGCATTACGGAGTGCAGCTAAAGGGGAGATACGACATCTAGAGATACTCAAGCACACTTGGAATGATGAACAGATTGTAGTATAGGCTTCCATTGCTAGTGGTGTATGAGAGGTTATCGGCTTACAGGTGCTAGCCGTCTTCGAATGTGTCAATATAGAGGACGAGCATAGATTGAAGAAAAAGGGTGAAGTTGAGATACAAGGCGTGAAAGCTAGGATTATCAACCCTAAAGATGCCATAGTCAAAGGGTAATACTACTACTACTACTCCTACTATGCACAGGCTGTTATACTCCTCATAGATACATGAACTTTGATGGTGATATAATGAAGAAGGGTATGGGTTTGGAGGTAGTCCCGTCGAGAGTACTTGTCATGACTAACTTTGCTGGTAGTGTTGAGGAGTTATTAGATGATATCAACTACAGTGATCTCATGGATGTAGGGTAGATGTACTCATAATGGCCTACTCCGATCGATAATCATGCTCAGGATATCAAAGTGGAATGTAAATCGATAACTGGTGGTGCTGATGTCCGAAGTATTATCATACCCCGTCCCGAGACCAATACTACTATACCCACAGTCAATGATGTTAATACACCTAATGGCGATGCACATCATCATGACTCGGCTACTATGGAGGATAGCCACCAGACGACTGTGCAGGTATGATGTAGATATGATGCCACTAGGAGCAGTCGTCCTCTAAACTCAGGGCAACACATCGACTGCAGCAGTACCAGCTGTGGATATGCAAGTACCAGGCCTTGGATGCTGCTTCATAGAGTTTCGTAGTGTTGAAGAGGCGGGGCAAGTTAAACGTATATTAGACGGACGTAATAGGGCAGCACTTGTGGCTAACTAGATCTACCTTATCACTGTTGTACAGGTATCTTCGGTGGTCATGAAGTATTCGTTACTTACTTCTCTGAGACGCGTTTCCAGAGAGGTGATTTTGCCAATCCCATGCCTAACACAGATGAGCCTGGTATTGCTACTATCCATCATTAAAGAGTGTCAATATGGTGTCCTTCCCTCAGAAGTCGGCTTGAAAGATATAGGGGAGAATGCGCCGCTGTTGGACGATGGTATGGATACTGATGAGGATGATAATATGGTTGATGCCACCAACATTGATGATTATGATGACGGTGAACAGGATATGAGAATACATAATAGGGATGATGTCAAGGTAGTAGTCACACGGCCTGTCGGCACGTAATGGCAACGTGTATTAGGCACGTAAGAGGAGTAAGCAACCATCACCATCACTAGCAGCTGAGGATCTCGAGATTATCGACTAAGGCTCCCGCCGGTTGCCTAGCTACTACACGTTTTCTCTATCACTATCCGTATCAAGTTTCTCAACCTATTCCTCAGCCTCAAGTTAATGGACTATGATCATCACTCACTCTAGGAGGCTCTGTCGCCGCTAGTGGTCTACTTTGTTTGTTTATCATAATGAGTTCACCCTCACCTGAACAGCAGCCTCTTCTAGCATCGTCGGAGGATAATAACAACAATAGTAATGCTAATCCTGAGTCGGCAAATCAAGAGGAGGATGCAGAAATGAAGGCTCTCATGGAAGACTTGAACAACATGAGTAATGATATGATCGATCGAATCGTACCTAGATTCGATCATCAAACGCTAGTCTAGCATCACTTGGCATTCATGATATTGATCTGTTATTAGGTACTGAGGGCATCCAGCAACGGGCCCGGCTCATACAAAATGATATACGAGTTTACAAGTCAGAAGTTCAACGTTTAACACATGAGCTAAACTCCATTAAGGAGAAGATGAAGGACAATCAGGTATAATATCGGGTTATGGCGTAGACTGCATATTAACCTTCAGGAGAAAATAAACCTCAATCGGCAATTGCCCCATTTGGTTGGTAGTGTTGCGGAGATCTTACCTGCAGATGAGGATGAGGCAGATCTCCCAGAAGAAGGTAGACCATGTGGTGATGGTAGGGGCAGCATCGATGGTAATCCTCTCAGGATCTGCAATAAGCACTCTCCAACGGAGAGAGAAAAAGGAAAAGAAGTCTATGGTAGTCAAGACGACTACAAGGCAGACCATCTATCTACCCATCATTGGTCTTGTAATACATCAGCAGCCGCAGTTCCGACAAGGATTCTCATTGTCAGGTTCCAGTGGAAGAGCTGAAGCCTAACGACCTGGTGGGGCTCAACAAGGATTCCTATCTTGTCTTGGATAAGCTGCCTCAAGACTTTGATTCTAGGGTCAAGGCAATGGAAGTTGATGAAAGGCCTACTGATCAGTACTATTACTACTACTACCACATTTAAGCTGGGTAAGGCGGCTAACATCATGATGTTACTCCTTTTGAAGGTATTCTGATATCGGAGGTTGTGATAAACAAATTCAAGAGATGATAGAGGCTATTGTGCTCCCAATGACCCATAAAGAGAGGTTTGATAAGATAGGTATATCCCCACCAAAGGGGCTCTTGCTCTACGGCCCTCCTGGGACAGGTGAGTCAGCATTACTCCTTTCAATGGTAGTATGCCCTCGCCTATGCCTACACCTTGTCAGGTAAGACTATGATGGCTAGATCATGTGCTGCTGCGACTAATGCTACTTTCCTCAAACTAGCTGGACCGCAGTTGGTCCAAATGTTCATTGGTGATGGTTCCAAGATGGTAATATACATTCAGCAATGTGATGCTGGTGGCTGATTGGATTCAGGTCCGTGATGCATTTAATTTAGCCAAGGAGAAGGCCCCTGCTATCATCTTCATTGATGAGTTGGATGCCATTGGTGAGTAGTCCTATCCCGCCCTTATCATCATAATATCCAATAGGAATGAAGCGATCAGCTGGTGGTGAGTTGTCTGGGGTAAGAGAGGTCCAGAGGACTATGTTGGAGTTGCTTAATCAATTGGATGGATTCAGTAGTGATGATCGCGTTAAGGTAATGTGGATAGTATCATGGTACTACCGGTTACTACTGGCATCAGGTTATTGCCGCAACCAACAGAGCTGATATGCTGGACCCTGCTCTATTGAGAAGCGGTAGATTGGATAGGAAGGTCGAGCTACCTCTGCCCAATGAGGATGCTAGGAAACGGTAGGCATACTATTTGGTGGCATTATCGATGGGAACAGAGCACATAATGATGATGGTGATGGTGAGCGATGGCTTCAGGATCCTTCAAATACACTCTCGTAAAATGAATGTGAACAAGGAAGACGTGAACTTCGATGAGCTGGCTCGGTGTACAGATGATTTCAATGGTGCACAGCTGAAGGCAGTTTGTGTTGAGGCTGGTAGTTATACCATTCCTATGGTATGTGGTACGTCGGTCTATCTCAGGTATGGAAGCACTCAGACGTGGGGCTACTGAACTCCAACATGAGGACTTTATGCAAGGTATAGCAGCAGTACAGGCTAAGAAGAAGACTAGTCTCAACTATTATGCTTGAGTACTGCTACTCTCGTCCTCTGTGTGTTGTATGTCTGCGCTACCTCTACCGTACTCCATCGCAGCAACCCTTTGATGACGAAGTTTCCCCTTACCTCGCTCGCCGCCTCTTGTTGATAGTAGTCCCTACTGATGGTATGATGATAACTCTCCTCAGTGAAGAGGCAGTATTATGCTCCTTCACCACTCTCCTCCAATCACAGCCTATTAACGATGCTATCTCGTAATATGGAGGATGCCAGTCATCATGGAGCGGCTGTCGATACTATTATTATCGATAGTGATTGTGATGATGATGGTACGGTTCATCAGAACAGGATGAGATCAAATGAGTTGGGGGATTCGAGTGGAACATCTTTGCTCTACCTAAATGATGAGATATTGGCATCTATATTCCTCTGGTTGCTCGGACCAGAGGATGTAGCATATCGGCATATCCTGCCTATGTGCAGCGCTAGCAGTACTCTATCTGGCATGGATATAGCTGGGGTTGATGAGGGGCAGAGTAACAATAAGGTAGAGGTGGGAGATGATGATAATGACGAGGCAATGCCCCAAGGACACCAGGAGGAAGCTCTGGATAGTAGGTCTCGACTATACACACTATCACCATTATATTATTCGGTAGATCATCATGGTCAGCATAATGGGCCGGTCTCGCATAGGGCTACTCTTGAGAATAGTAGTACACCGGTTGGCGCAGTATTGACAGGAAGGGAAATACTACGATCACTCTGCAATAGAACGAGAAATGTAGGCTATCTAACATCATGGCTGTCATCATCATCATCATCATCATCATCATCATCATCATCATCATCATCATCATCATCATCATCATCAGATAATCGATTCCCTTTGTGGAGTCTTGACTATACGTGTAAAGGATCTAGTAGAGTCCGCAGTCATTAGTGACTCCCCCACTATAGCTCCGGCCACTCTGCCAAATCGGATCACATGCCAGTGGGATCACTACACTGCCCGTATTATTATACCCTTTATCCGTCTTATACTTGTCAGGAATTACATTTTCGATTTCACGGGTATACATTCGACATCCCTACGAGGCCCTCTAAATACCATAGTCAACTTCATCAATACCACAACATATACACAAGGATTGCCTCCTTCCCGTATGGCGGCGGCAACATTGTTAACACCACCAGCTAGAGTGCATTTGCTCAACATTAATCCATGGATGCTCGAGCCAGTAGGGACTAGCATTGGGATCAATCATCATCAATTCTTTGTCTTCTCAGAGTAGCCGCTGCATCCGTGACGTTTTCGGGGTTGTACGTGATATAGAGGAGAACAACAAAAAGAGTTGCTGCTTCCCCCAGCGGATGATGGACGATATCTCCTATAACCATAGCATGCTCATCGACAGTTCCTCCTCATCTTCATTCCCATCTAGAAGAATGTGAGTGGCGGACCTTTGGTATCTATGCACGATCCTATGAGTATCCGATTCAACACGTCGTATGTCCTGCACTCGTATAAGATGATATTAGTAGTATATCATCACTGATATTAGTGCCTTGCAGCACTATATCGTTTGTCCCGCTATTTGAGAGTACTCTGATAATCCTCTTACCATGGGAGGTTGGTTGTTCATCCTTTAGAGAGGTCGTTCGAATGACTCTATGCGGCTTCATAATACATCAGCAGGAGCTGCCTCCATTGAAGGTAGTAGTTCTATCACTACTGCACAACACCACTATAATTATCCTGTAATCAGATAACACTCAATAACCTACGCTCACTTTCTCTAGCATACTGCACTATCCCTCTTACTGGACTTCATGCTGCGTCCCCAGATACAGTACGTCAGGTAAGAGGAATACTACTGCTAGTAGTTATATATTGATGTTTATGTTATCATAGTAGGTACCTTGGTTACCATCTATGCCCATGTTGGAGAGCCTTGAGCTACGACATATGGTGGCTGTGGACAGCAGTGGTATGATGTCTCTAGGTCATGGCTTGCCTATCCTCAGTATTGGTGACAGTGTTGGCCTCCCTGATGCATTGTTGGAAGGCATCCTACATCGTATACCCAATCTAAGGGATCTACTCATAGACTCCTCGGCATCTATCATGTGCCCTGATATAGCCTCTAATGCCCCTAAACTAGAGCATCTCGCCATATCCCACTGTCCACGATTGAGACCATCCTCCATCGAGAAGGTAGCTAAAGAATGCACGAGACTCAAGTTACTAGACATACGAACACTTACTCAACTGGCCAACGAGGTTAATTCACATGCTTTGGCGGGTATAGAGAGTCTACGCCTACCTCCAGCTGTTAGAGAGGAGTATCTCAAATCGATCCTGTCTCATCAACAACAACATCATCATGCTGCTGCTGCTCATAATGGTTATAGTCAGCAGCAGCAGCAGCCGCCTCCACGTGGTATCTGCTCGCTATCTCTTTCTGAAGTGGATGATATAGATCTTACTCATGCATCATTGCAAACACTGTTCATAAGCAGATCGGAGTCGATGCCTCTGCCAAGTCTATCATCCCTCACTGCCAGTCAGTATCTCCGTCATCTATTTATCAGTTTCTGTCGATTAGACCCAGCAAGGTTTAGAATATCGGGTACATTCTCCAGCTTGGAGATACTATCACTACATAATGTAGTCTACTCTCGTGATCAACTATCCCTATTGCTGGCATCTACTCCTTCATTAACAGCGTTGAGCATTGCTTTATGTGACCTACCTACCACTCGACAAAGGGATAACAATGCTCCTAGAGATGAGCTAGAGCCTCTACGTGTACCTGGTTCGAATCCTCCAATTCCTCTCAAGTTCCCTCATCTAAAGTATCTCCATATATCTGGAAGTAAGAGGGTTCATTACAGTGCTATTGTGCCAAGTATAGTATCAAATGCCGATGTATTGGAACAGCTTGAGCTACTCAAGGTCTCCCCAGTGTATAGTATAAGCTCCCCGAGTCCAAGGCTATCCTCTATCACAGTATCATTGCTGCCTCCTACCCCATCAACACGTGTGAGGTTGATAAGGGACATCCTCAATGAGTCGACGGCTATAGGAGGCCATAAGCTGTTGCTACAACATCATCACAAGTCCGAGGTAGACCTTTTTGTAGCAGCCCTTACTAGACAGTGTTGGAGCATGAAGTCCCTGGTCCTCGCTGGTTGCTGTCTTCAATCCCCTCCTACACAGGAGGAGGCATACCCCACTACGCAGCAGACCATGAAGATTGTACGAGAGTACGAGGCGTTACTGGGAGGTGGTGAATCAGGGAGGGACACTCGACTGAGCATCGTTAGAGATAGTATCAATAATGGGATGGTCAACCAGAAGAGGTCCTTGGCCCCATCATCCAAGGCTACCCGTGACCACGAAGTACATGACTCTACTCAGAGGGAGGGGGAGCAGCCGGCCAATGAAGATGACGAGAAGGATAGTGATGATACTGGTAGTGTCGATGACTATCGACGTTTGAGTAATGGAGATGACCTTATGTTGGATCTCATTATAGAACTAACTACGGCAGTAGCTCTGGGCTTACTAGCGCGGCTAGTAGCTGTCAATGAGATAATGTACTCTAATTACCAACAACACCAACAACATGCACGAGGTGCATCGGCTACACACTCCACGCTCGAGACCTTCCCGACACCTGTCTCGCCTCCCATTCTACACAGGCCAGATCTATCAGGGATACACATGGACGATGATGATGACGATGATGAAGTCTCCTCGCCATTGGTAGAGATCCCAGTAAGTATGAAGTTGTTATCATAATGGTGATGGCTAACCTCAGTCCCCCACTCCGAGGAACCCTCCCTCTACTGATCGTAGACAGCCCTTCATACCACCACCGCCACCACCGTTGATATCAATAGTGCCCCCTCTTCCTGCCATGCACACGATACAACAGCTACTCCTCGTGCATCGAATGCCAATGTCGGGACTGGAATTGGATGCTCCCTCGGGTGAGTGTATTTCTGTTGCTGTTCGCCTCCCCATTATGTACTACAGGCTCTACTCAGTGGGACTCCTCTTATAAGGAGACTATGGCGGTGCTTATTTCCGCCCCTGTGAAGATGGCCTTTGAAGTCTTAGCTGGGGACAATAAATCGATGGACTGGGGAAGAGAGGGGGAGGAGGTAGAGGAGGAGGGAAAGGTGTCAGGGGTAGCAGCTGATGATAGACACAACAAAGGTGAGAACTGCTGCCTGTTCACAAGTGAGCCCGTGTCCTCTAGAGCCGGTGATGGATGGTGATGATGGTGATCCTATGTCGTCATCCCTTGTTGATGCTAGACACAGGGCTGTCTATGAATACGGCAAAGCGTATCAGAGTATGATTGACAAGTTTATGTCGATGCGAACGGCTCAAGTACTACTATAATAAGTACCACTCTTTCGGCTGTGATTCATTCCTCAAGGTTACTGTCATGTCCCAATTGCCCGAGAGACAACAACAACAGTTGCTCTGGAAAGGCTTACTTATACAGTCTACTGGTGCCTTCTCGAGGGAAGGGGCATATTCCACCAAGATCCTCACTTATCGGAAGACCCTCTTGAAGTAAGCACCAGCTTCGGCTGCACCATTCTGTCCCCTCTAGTAGACATGACCAGATACAAGGAGTCCCCAGGAGAGCTCCGTGAGTATCTATCAACCCGGAAGCTGGTGAATAAAGAGCTCGCCGCATTACTCTCTAGGAGGCTAGCATGTGTACCTGAGTCTGGTGAGTTTGAACATCACCTGTCGTAGGATTCTCCATCTCTTTCCCAGATCGTTGGGGAGCTCGGTGTCGGTCAGCTGAGAATCGAGAAAGCGACATTATAGCGGGATGCCTACGTAATGCACTTACACCTGCTGGTGTTATTGGTGGAGGTGTGGCCATACTCCCATTGAGAGAAGGCGCGAGGTGATGCTACTGTGGGGGGGACTAATATCACGACAATACTGCCGGTTTCCTCATCATAGTTACCTACCCAAGCTCTTCGATGACCTTCCTGTGCATCTAGCAGCCCCCTTATTGGTGCATAGACTAACTTCACCATCCCATCAGTAATGAAGCCCTTCTTTGTTCTTGCACATGTCCGATGCTGCTAGGTATGCAGCGGACGTGGGTTTGGTCTCGCAATTCGGTGAGTTCATGGAGATGTGCATATCAATGTGTATACGATATGATACGATAGAATTGAAGTATCCTGGTTACCATGTGTTACAGACAGCTATAGCTAAGGCTAATGCTCTTGACCGTTCCACACGGGAACCACTACCAGCCTTTCCTACGGAACAAGTGATGATCTTATCTCCTCCAGTGATAGCTGATCATGTTCCCTTTCAGGTAGCAGATGATCTACCCTTGATACGCGTAGGTGTCGCAATGGTATCATCAACTAAGGCTGAGCTGGAAGTCCGTAAACGCCCGTGTGGGGAGGCCTCGAGCCAGCGCCGGAAGACGGCAGTGCACCGCTTATTGATGAGCCTAGCATATGGGCGTCTTGCGTGTACTCCTATGACGCGGTTAGAAGATCTCTCCATTGGAGACCTCCTAGACCTCCTCAGAGCCTCTATCAACCACATAGCAACATCTCTGCTGAGACTCCGATCTGGTACCGACAACACCACACTGCTTCAAGGAGCTTACCATACTTCGATTCAAGATCCTCCTTGGTGGAACGGCTCCTTGGAGTCAATGAAGTTGAAGTATTCGGTAGTGTCTCGGCTTGCGAGCGGCAACACTAACACTGCTGGTGGTGAGCATTGGGCTCTCGAGGCGTTTGAGGATCTGCGGAGCAAGTTCCCGAACCTCGTAGTGCTACAAGTCGAGTTGCCGGAGGCAGGGCTGTCCAAGTTGCACGATATGCTAGAGGAAGATATTCCATCGTCCAATGGTATCAAGTCCACGAAGGTTGTATGTTCCACGCTGCTACCACGGGTCCGCACTCTGTTGTCACCGCATGGTGGCCCTACTTGTGATGAAGACTCTGAGCCTCCTCCACCTAAACGTCCTAGGCTCACTGAGCGCTGCTCTTCGGAAGGTTCGCAGGCGACAGATAATAGACTCCAGCGGTATTCGAGCGATATTAGTGTTGCTACCACCACCAGAGTATCACAAATTGGTGTTCGTGGTCCAACTCCACTACATTTCAACTCGGTGGATACTGAATGGTATAGAGCTACCGAATGTTGTACTGTAGCAGATAATCTCATTAGACTACAGTCACAACAACAGCAGCATCCATGTTGGGATTGGGATGCGTTCTTATCGTAATAAATCGTTTTTATAATCATTGCTGTTGGCATAGCTTGCTATCATCCGTACACTTACAATCCGCGTATATTGCTACTATTACGTGTTTCTTGTGAATCTCAGAAGTGTGAAGTCTACTTGGGTTGCGTTCAAGAGTTGGCATAATACCATCTTTTGGTAGATAGAATAACTAGCACTGATAATGGCGAGGATCAAACAAACTGCACATAAAAGCACTGGTGGTAAGATGCCTCGCAAGCAGTTAGCTTCAAAAGCTGCACGCAAGTCCTCTCCTGCCGTTAGTACAATCCGTCGTCCGCATAGGTTAGAACCCTCCTCCTACTCCTAGTATCTATCACCCATTATCATTCTAGGTTCCGTCCAGGCACAGTTGCTCTTCGAGAAATAAGATGGTACCATGAAACCTTTATCCCGCATGATGACTTACAACTCTGTCTACAGGTATCAGCGTAGTAGTGAACTTCTCATAAAAAAGTTGCCTTTCCAACGGCTAATTCGTGAGATAGCCCAGGAGTTCGAAGTGGGCCTGAGGTAGGGTTATGAGTACTCGACCGTTCCCATGTGTGCTCTATGGTATTTCATGCAATATATCAGATTCCAGAAATCAGCGGTTCTCGCTTTACAAGAGGCTGCTGAAGCATATCTCGTCGGGTTGTTTGAAGACACCAACTTATGTGCCATCCACGCTAAACGCGTAACTATTATGCCCAAGGATATGCAGTTGGCTCGAAGGATCCGAGGAGAATGAGTCTGATCTATTTACAGTTCTATGTGTTTACTGTTCCTCCTGAGTGTTTGGACTCTTTCCCCGCCTTAAATGGTGTTGGATTATGCCTTGTCAATAACATGGACATGCTCAGCAATCCTCGATGCGCGACCAATATCGGATGAAAACGGAAGGAGGACTTTCAGTGGAAGCGATCACCCTTATCATGACATACTGGCAGAAGGAATGGCATGCGCACTGCTTGCCCAACTACTGTGCGGACCTAGCAGCGCTAATGGCCATACAAAGGATCGGACATCCTAACGTTGAACGTATTCAACTGTAGATGATTCAACTACAATGTAGATTAACTAACTCTTAGGCATTATGATTAGCCATAGAACAACTCAATATACCCAATTTGCTGTTATATGATTTGTACCCTTCTTGTCGGCCTTTATTCCTTGTTGACAATGAATATATCTTGCTTGCATGGGAAGTGGGTTTAGAGTTATACACGAAGTTCTTTATCATAACCAGATACTCATCAACACAAAACCTACCGTACAGATTAAAAATTGACGGAATTTCCACCTTTTCATCGATATACACATGAAAAACCAATCATACCGTACTGATGGCGATATACACTCACTCCGCATTTTGCTAGGAGTGGAGACATTTCAGTGGCTGTCAGTGCATGCCACTGCTTGACACATCAATTGCACCCCATTGCAACGAAAATAGTAGAAAGTTGGCCATATATGATGCAGATATCCAATTTAATATCAAGACGGATCACGGGGACTTTGTCAGTGGGACTATGAAGTATGTTACAGTAAAAAAACGACCTGTCCTCAAGCTAGACAAATTGATTTCATATGATGGTTTTTCCGAGAGCGCTCTCCACCAATTCCAGACCAAGTCGGACCTGAGATGCATCGCTATGGTATGTATACTGCATGATTAGACCTACAGTTGGTGTGCCCCGAATTAGAGGGTTATCGCCATGAAGTTGCTCTTCAAATTCGCAGTCACCATGTTTGTTTTCATCATCAAGAGGCTGGCCAATGGCTAATCAATGGATGAGCATATTGTTCATGATGATCAGATGGCGGATCCCTCTTACATGATACCGAGACTGCCGTCTGTGGGCTGCTCATATCTCTGGATTTCTTTAGGATTTCCATATCCATCACAGGGTTGATCTCCACAAGATCCATACTGCCTAACTGTCCTGTCATAGCCAACCTCTCGCAAATGTAATGCGATTCCCTGAGTGTATATTAGTCTATCCTGTCACAGTCTACCATTGATACATACCTGTAGGTAAGGCCGCCCTTGGCCTTGGTACCAGTTCCGGGGGCGATTACTGGATCTACGTACAACCTTGACATAGACATATCCAACAATACCCTCACCTATGCCGTCAATGTCAAGAGAGAGGTGGATAGGACGATCGCCTCTTGGATTGATTTGCTTTAGAGCTTCCTCCATAACTGCCGAGATGCCCAAGCGATCGACATCAGTCATGGTGAAACACTGTAGAGAAACAGTCGGGCATAATAATGAGCACATTGCGATAGAGCTCACCTTAACCTTAGATTGCCTGAGAAGCCTCCTCTCCTCTGGATCGATATCACGTAAACCAATGAATGCTGACACCAACGTATCCGATGAAAGGCTGCTAACCAACACTCCTTACCGATTCGATCTTCCTTGAGTGGATGTGACAGATGCTCATCCATCCATTCGAAGCCTCTAGCACGCTTCTCAAACCATCCCATAGCATGGGCAGCAGGCATACCTAAACACACTATTCCAGTAATCGATTTCCAACGACTGGAGAGCCCACCGTGATAGTTCCCCGATGGACTCGTTTCAGGATGGTTGCAGTCACCATGGGCGTCAACCCAAACGACACAAGCATTAGGACGGGCACGCATGACACCTGATGAAGCTATCCATGTACGAACATACATACACTTGTACCAGCAATGGTAGGGCAACCGAGACTGTGATCACCACCGACAGTCAAGACGAACTTCCCCTCGTTGGCCGCGTTATACACTGCATCAAATATCTGATACCAACACCTCTATTGTAATAACGTGAGAGGCCTAACACTGCTCACATGCCCACAGGCTCGGCCGATTTTCTCACAATTCTTGATCTTCGCATTATCGTAAAACGGGATGGTGGCTCGAGAGGACGGCACTGAACATCCATGGTAACCAGCCTATCCAGCATCGATCATGTTACCTGGTGGAGCGTTGGGGACTGGTGTATCGGCCAATTGATCCAAGTCTAGGTCGCCCCGATCCTCGAAGCCCCAACCCACTTCCTCGACGACCTGAGCAGGACCACTCAGTAAGGGGGAATACCCTGGGTAGCATACAGCTGATAGGCCTCCATCTCGAAGGGCTTGTGGAGCCTTAGCGACTCCAGAATCGTAGTCCTGGCCCTCGGATATGGGGGCACCTGATCAACGCATAGAGGGGAAGGTGGCAGCAACAGCATCACCAATCATGACGAGGGTCCTAGGCTCACAGAGGGAAGGAATAGGCGGCCCAGCACTGCCGGTCATAGTAGAGAAGGAGGATCCCATGAAGAGATGAATATGCAATTAGTATATGAACTACAGACGAATGCCGGGCGTCGACAACAGATCCTGAACACCACTCCAACCGAGTAAACTGCGTCAGTATATCTGATGCAGGGCACTATGTTCCTAGTTGTGTATCCTTCTTAGAATGCCGACCGATTACAGTACTACCGCACCTGGTGACAAGACGAGGACTATACCATCGAACCATCCATGGTTATCCCCCTAATGGAAGGAATGTATAATTGATGACAAGCCCGAATTCACGACGCAACATCAACTTATTGAAACTGCGTCTTCAATCGGCGCCCGCCCAGGTCAATTTGCGGCTGGGGGGACGTTGAAACGAATGGGATTCGTGTGAAGAACTCAAGATTTGCATGTGCACTCGTGGACAATACAGAGGTCCTTGCGTGAATTGGTAGATGGACTCATCACCCTTAATTAGTTCAAGGCGTGAGTACTCAGATGCCTTTACGAGAGGACGTATTACCACCTTCTTCGGCCCTCTTCCATTTACTGACCCCAATGCGTCTATGCAATATGAGGTTCCCACTTCTACTACATGCATGCTCACCGCTATAGTCGATTTGATCTTAGTTGTATAGGCTAATATACACTCGATTCTATCCAAGTAGACAGTGCTGCTCTCTCCCTCATAAAACGATGGAGTGTGAGGGCCGCCGAGTAGTACACCTCCTCGTGTATCATGCTGCCATATGTACATATCCGAGGGTATCATCATCATATGTTAGCGATGCCATTCCATGTTCGATGCCGTCAGCATATTCAACTGAATACGGCTTAGATGTAGACTATAGGAGTAGAGGCAAACTTACGGATGATGCCTCGGGGTACAACACTAATTCTTACGGGTTCACCTTTACATGTTAAAGTGTGACAATCCATTCGTCATTCGGACTTCTCCTGCATATACGGAGTACCCGGTGTAGTCGGGGTACACCAAATGTGATGGTAGTAGGGGGGGGAGGTGGGGGAAGAATTATCATGCTGGGTAGCGTACATATGATCGAGGTTATCGATGATCACGTGACGAATGAGAATAGTGGTGATGGAAACCGGGAATGAGCGTGAGAGAGATCGAATATATTACGGGACTAACGTCATGATAATACCGTCATATGTATCTGGGAGACGGAGGAATAGGAGTCGTGTTGTAGGGGGTTGCAGTAGTAGTAGCATCATCGCAGTTCATCATCATTTATCCCTTACTAGCCCGCTGGATCCACTCTGCCTCTTCCGTATGATGCCGACTACTATCACCACAACGGCTTTCCCCTTGTAAGTCCCTTTCGCCGCTCCTAGTGTGTATCGACTTCCCCAGGTGGTTCGCTGATGACGATGATTACGATAATGATCTCGGCCGTCAAGTAACCTCTTCCATGCTCGAGGATCCGTTCGTACCTAGGGTAGCCTATAGAAAGCCCATCACAGAGTGGGAATATGATTCTAGTATCCCCTCGATTTTGGAAGAGTTCAACATGCAACGTATCCCTTCCTCTCAGCGTAGACACCAGTTGCATGCTATCGACATTGATGGGGTGGGGAAGAGACCTCTGTGCAGTAGTAGTAATCGTATACCTCATAAGGAGGAGGAAGATTACCGACGCTTCCGTCCCGATGGTCTCAAGCAGCTCATCCCCTCTTGTGTAGAGGACTCTATACTCCTCCACCATCAGGATGCATTCTATAGGCTACATGGGGACATCCTAAACCATCATGATATCCTCATTGACTGGGCATCTCTAGTGGCGGCCCCGATTGTATCATCATCATCGACGACGACAGGCCACTACACCCCATCTGGAGGGAGCTCTTCTCAGGGCCTGCCGATCCTTCCCACTCCTCCTGCTACTCCTAGTAGTGATCAGGCTAGCTCGGCTGAGGTTAATGATGATGATGAGCGCACTGAGGAGGAGGAGATTACGGATGGTGATTGGACACTCCTAGAGGACGTCACACCCCTTCATCTTGGTGAGGCGTCATCCCCTATAGCTGCTGTAGACCCTTACCATATAGTAGATGACGATTTTGTACTCCTCTAGGCATGATAGTCATCGATGAGGCATAGGCATTTTTAAGTTGTTGTTAGCAGCATCGCTCTGTGATTGTTGTTAGGACTGAGGCTTCAGCTTCGGTACTCAATTGTTGTTGTGCATGCTATCATGATCATCATCAACCTCATGCTTGAGTTCAGTCGACCCCACTACACTGGCATCATCATGGATTATCATCGACATATGGTTAGGTAGTATTGTGGTCCTACCAAATGGGATCATAACCGCTACTCAGCCATCAAAGATTAGTACAATGACCATGTCCTACTCATACCTTCATGTACTTCTCATCGACGGCTAGGTAGGATATACGGTCTATTGGAGGCTCATTGAGTCAGGAGATATGGAATGGATGCTCACAGCTGTGAACTAGGGTGTGTTATCGAGACTCTATCCCTTCGTGTTTGCTTGTTGTAGAGGCTCGGATGCCCTCTCGAGTGTTGTGGTGTCCTTACAGTTTTCGATGTCTCTTTCATGGCTAATACCACCAACTCCAAGTTGAATAAGGGTAGGGCTCTACTTGAGAAGATGGGATGGCAGCCGGGTAGCGGTCTAGGCCGGCAGGAACAAGGGATGAAGGCTCCACTTCATGTACGGCTCAGGGGAGGATATCTTAACTTGCATTATATTGCCAGGTTAAACAGAAGGCGGGTACACATGCAAGGATAGAGCCCTTGAGGGTCAACCGTACAGCAGCGGTGCAACAACAACAACAACAACAACAACAACAACAATCTGGTCATAGTAGTGCTAGTCCTAGCGAGAGTAGTGGGCAGGAGGGTTTACAATGGAAAAGGCAACGGACAGGGGATGGTAATAGTCGGGCATTCAATGTATGGTATGCAGCCTCCTTGTAGATACCTCACAAGGAGGGAAGAGTAGCATGGGGACGTCTATCGCTGAGGCAGCTGCTGCTGCAGTAAAGCTGGCCCAGCAGGGTGGGGTTGAGCATGCTACATCCAAGGTTGGCTCCTACTTCCAGTGTAAGTAGTGGTATATGACGACTGATATCAGGTCACTGCTGTGCCTACCATTGATAATCCCTTTGGTGATCCCTTCCAACCTCGTGATGTCCTCGAGGAGCGTGCCTCCGCTACTGCTGCAGCCCCTGTTATGATCAATCTTGGCGACAATGTACTATCACTGCTACTGCTACTGCTGCTGCTCATTGTCATTACCATCATAATGCGGCCTACATCCTTGCCCCGTACCCTAGGCCCACTACATCATACCTACCATGATGCGCTTGTTGGACTCTAAGGCTTGCCGATTCGAGGCTAGGCTAGAGGATGACTTTGACTGCAAGGCCTTCTTTGATCTAGGGTGGGCACCTATACCTTTGCGCTCAATACCCCTCCCCCATCATCAGAGTTGCTGGTACCCTGGTTGTGGTGCCGATCGAGGGCCATAATGTCACAGCCAATACAGTGGCCTCTGCTGCTGAGTTTATACGTGAGGATGTCATACCAAGATGCCTCACGCCTCAAGGGATCAGTGATCTGTGGTAAGCCTGGTACATAAGCATTGAACGATAGCTGCTTGGTGTAGGGAAGAGTACGGTTTTGGTTCGTCGAGGAGTAGGATCAGATTACAGCAAGAGGAGGACTCAGCAGCAGTAGAGAATGCGGAATGGTTACGGAAGGTTGAAGCCTACCAGCCTCGGGCTCATAAAGGGAAAGGTGGGAGGGCGCATTCGGGGGGGGGGGGTCCCCGAGAACATACCGTCTGTACTAGGTGGTATTGGTGCCGCTACTGTTGGTGACGGACTTGTTTCTGGGACGCCAATGTTACATACTCCAATCGAGAGTAGTGAGAGGAGCCACTTCATCCATGGCCAGGTCTACAGCATTGCTAGCTCTAGTCTCTAAACTAACCTTTCTGTCAGACAATAGACCCAGAGGACAGTGAGCCTGTGGTCAGTAATCTGGTAAAGATACCAGAGAAGGTATCCCAGGTAGTTACTAGGCGCCTGCAGGAGATTAAGATGGCTACCAAGATAGTCGATATCAAGGTGGTAGACATTGACCGGGGGAGGGCTTGCATCAGTATTAGCTCTATCAGATATCATCTACACCCCAGGCAGGTCAGAGGAGTGTCATGCTGAAGGGCACCAAGAACCGGATACAGACGGTCAAGGACATCTTCATGGAGTTTAGAGCATCGGCAGCTGATAGAAAGTCTGCCACCTTGGACAACCTCCTTAATGCGTATCAATATACGTCCCACATTTAACGTAATCCTTTCCATTATTATTCTGATCGTTGTTCAGTACCCAAGGTTGTTCACTACAATGACGCCCACTCATCAGGTGCTTCACTGATGACCCTATCCTAATCGTCAGATTCATCACTATCATCCTCCCTTGCTTGGATCACTGGAGTTCCATGTCCCCAGAATACTTCACTCTAGTAGGGCAACACTCCCACGTCCCTTATATGCCCTGGGCTCTGGATGATGTTATTTTCACCAGCATTTTACCTCATTAGCCTAGTGACTCTAGTAGAGCTGTTGTGTACATCACTCTAAAACTGTATCTCTAGGGTACGCCGTTGCCCTTCAGTCTGCCTGTTCACCTGCCTATAATGTCGTCTACGTCCCGGCATGCTTCAACAGTATCTGCAATGGTTCGTCCTCGGTCTACACCAGCAGAGGTGTATCAAATACTCAAGACCTGCACTGTGGCAGGTGAGTAGTACTCATTAATAGCAGTCATTCACTAGTTGAATGCTGTTGTCTAGATGAGCTTGTTGAGGTATTCGCAACTCATAAACGGTCCTTTGACATAAGATGCCATGCTGAGTACATCGACAGACTAGCTAGACTGAGTGGTGATAAGGTCCCGAAGGGGCTCCAGCAGGATCATTGGCAATGGGTCGAGAGAGCATTAGGGAAGTTGTACGATACTACCATCGCATCAGTGCCATCAACCTCACAGTTATCTCTTAGTCAGCAAAGTGGGTTCCTCCATGCACCCACTATGAGGGAGGGTTTAGGGAGACTTTGCCATGCAGTGGCTCGATGTAGTCCTGATAACATCATAT